TAAATGCATAATTTTTTTTATACCTATTATAATTTAAATTAAATAAAACACTTATCACCACGAATGTACTCTTCTTTGAATGATAATATTCTGGTTATCGTAGATATCTCTTTTACAACCCTATTCAAAGATGGCTTAGTAATCTGAAGCATAGAAGTGAGATGATATGTTTATAGTGATACCGTAAGTCACTAGTTTTCTATAGAGTGCTGCCGCCATTATGTTTATATTAAAACGGTTATAATGAGAATTAACAACTGTCGTAAGGTAAGCGGCTGGGCCGCACGCAACAGGCGTTAAAATCAGTTAATGATGACTTATGAGCGTGACGGAGGTTAATCTTGTTAGGGCTTTTAAACGGGACGGCGAAGGGGTTCACCGTCACAATTATGCCCTATTCAAAATAAAACGTTCTTCACTCGATTTATCTATAGGTCGTCGTCGTTGTTGTCGTAGTCGTCCTTTGCGTCGTCGTTGTGGTCGAGGAAGAAAACGATGGACCGGGTGCGTGCGTGCGAGTTTCGTTCTGTTCGTTTTCGTTTGTCGGAATGATTACAGTTTATGGGCGCCGCGGTGGCCTTATTGTGGACATATACAGAAATGGGTAATAACCATCTGTGGCCATTGTGACTACCATACGGGTAACCTCGCTTAAATTTACTGACACGCAATATATTAACGTAGCAAAAATGATCGTGTAATTGAGATGGTTTATCGACAAAAATTTATATATATATTTTGTTTTAGTTTAATCAATAAATAGGAAAATAAAACGAAAAAACAAGTAAAATATAGCATGTCCATTTTTGTATGGTCGTTGAATGTCGAGTGAAACGTGAAAACAAATAAATAATAAATAACGTTATTGGCACCGGAGCGTTCTGTTGCCGACCGTTGATTTATAGTAATTATTATTGACCCGGGAGACGGTAAAGGTCTTTGCTGACACCTCTTGAAATTGAAATGAAATTTATAATCGCAGCCAGAGAAATAACCGCAGACGTATAAGTAGCCTGTGCAAAATTGCACCGCAAATATCTTCTTATTAGTTCACGGATTTACACCTACAGCGAGGTCCCATATCTGTCACGCTGTATGGTGTGTAAATCTGACAGTAAGAACGTTTCTGTCAGTGATAAATTTACGACTTTCCGGTTTCGTGTATCAGCTATTTTTAAATTTTACTTTTTAAAGTGAACTAAAGTGTTTTGTATTAGTAGTAATTTTTGTTTATACTTTTCTCTTTGCATTGTATACATAGTCGTACTGAAAGTGGTTCTTTTAAGGTCTATCGCGATCTCAAGGTAAGTAACATTAACGAGACACAACGACTGGTCCCACCTACGCATTGGTCAGTCGGTTTCGCGGTCACTATATCACATACCGTAACATGCGACGTTACGGTATGTTACCAATTTAATATTCTTCCGTATCCTGATGTAATCGATTTTTCTAATTTCATTCTCATTTTTTGGTAGCATCAAAACAAGATCGAAGATAGGATTGTTATTATCCTCTCCGTCAGGGATCATCGTCACAGCGGTAATGCAGAAATCGGATGCTCACCGGGAATCCCGTAATCGACGATTCATCAAAACTCCTTTGCCCACCGCGCGTATTTGAGTGGAAGACAAATTGCAAGTCATAATCTAAATCTGACGTCAAAGCAACCTGTTTTAAGTACGTAGATGTTTCCTGTCGTATATCCGATCAAGATTGCTTAGTGATATGGTCCCAGCGGACTTAAGCTTACCACACACAGTCCGATTTGTATTATTCCAAAATTGAATATTTATACAAAAATATAAACTAAAAAAATATTCTTGCAAGAAAACTATTTAAGCATACTTAAGTGCCTAGACAATACATAAAGAGTATTACTTGACGTTTAAAGTGTAATTTGCACATTTAATGCTTTAAGGATCCATCCAACCAACGGTAATTAATCGTTTGCTTTTAATTAAATTGCTCACTATGTAAGGAGAAGAAGTTACGACCTAAAACGTAAAACAAAAATAACGCATTTAACAAGCAACGAATTGTGTCATAAAACTGAAATCAATTAAAATCACTTCGATAAGTGCACCTCGCGTCAGGATGAACAGCAATTAAAAACTGTAAAGTACGAAGCTGTAAATTGATATAAAATTGAAACAAGATAGTTTGTAATAAATATCTGTTAACCGCAGATGAAGCACTACTATATAAGCCGATTTAAACCTGTAGATATTTGGGAAAGGTTAATTAATAACAATAATACCCCGTTATTGCATTTTCTGCTGGGCGTGTTAACACTAAAAACCATAACTGTCTTTTAAGTAACAATTTATTTGTAGATAATGCTGTGATGCAATCGATATTGAATTTATTTTATTGGTATTAGTATGAGTCAGAGAAATGAACATTTAACGTAAGCTTTAGAAATAAACCAAACAAAGTAAAACGTCAAACAAAACCGCGTAGTAGTCGTTAAATAGTCGGAAACGTAGAACATAGAACCCCTTTAAGACAGCCATAAATTATTGTTAATACCATACAGTGCATGCTACTCGTGGGATCATATTTTTACTAAGGAAATAGAGAAAGTACTGCTTTTACTATTTCACCATACCGTAGGGCACAGACGTTATTGCAGTACCGTCGTAACAAAGCGTTTTAAAGACGACTTTTATTGCAATTAAGGGAAACACATCGTTCTCATACAATTAAGCAATAAACGAGGTCCGTTAGCGGTGCGTTTAAATGCGCAACATTTATTTCAATTGTGAAAACAATTATATACCGCCCACGTAAAATACGTCCATCCATCCGGACGAATGCTTATCGAAAGGTCAAAACGTTTATATTGCAAACTTTGACTATACGGTATTCACCGGTTACTTATTTATACCTTCTATAAGCCGTGTATAATTTGCCGACGATAATTCCAATTGTTTGAGTGGGATCTTGATTATCGTACGGTTACACGGTTGTAAATTAAATTAACTATTACAATCACTTTTGATATTCTAACTTAAGTTAGATTTCTCGATTGTATTATAGTAAAAAAAAGTTAGGCTAAGTCAACAAAAATGATGGTCGTAGGGGTGCGTGCGAACTCTATTTAATTTAATTCCATACTCGTGTCTTCCCTTAACATCACACAGGTAACGTTGAACACGAGTCGACAAAAGGGTGTCCGTCTATTTCATCATAGTCATCAAGTTAGGGTAACACGACGCCTATGGCTGTTTCCAACGTCGCGTGTGCCACCGACATCGTACATCAATCTACATTACCGTTAAAAGCTTTCCTAATGAATTGCGAGTCCAGAAATGGGGTACTTTTAAAGTAACGGCAGTCAACTACAAAAGTTGTGAATTCTGTTAAAATAGTAACATTTTCCAAACCGTTTATGAATTAATCGATTATAAATTATGCGCAGATGCATAACAAAATTGGTGATACAACGTAAATCTGAGACACAATTCAAAATAAACCTTGCATCACTATGATTTAAGTGATTTAAGTGCGGTTAAATACAGGTTCGATATTAAATCCAGCCAATAGTTATGTTAATGTCAATAGTAATTACGAGAGAAACGAAATTATAGGGGATGAGAGCGCATATATTACATCATATGTCGATCGAGTGTGGTCACACCATAACCGGCGGCCAATCTTGACGAGTTCTAAAATTGCAGTTTACTCTTCCTCCACCTAACTCTACACCTGGAGGATACCAAACGATTTATGAAAATGACATTCCATTTCTGTAATTTTAACGAATCTAAAAATAAAGATAACGAGAAAACAATTTTAATTCTCCACGTGAAAGGAAATATTCAAAAAATTGATATAAAATAAAAATTGGTGATGTAAATGCCTCATAGAATATGCAATACGGCATTGAATATGCAATAGATCTATGTATAACGTGAGAACACAATAACATCAGACATCTATTATTATTTAGTAAGTTTATAAGTAATTTTGAAAATATTTTGAAAAAAATATCTAGAAACCATCTTGTTAATTTGGTGCTGAAATACTTTTTACAACATCTAAAGTGTTTAAAGGTCAAGATGAACTAAATTAATTAGCGAAAACGTTTCTATTTGTTTAAAAATTGTACAGGGTGTTAAAATGTGTTAAAAGTAATGATAAAACTAGAACGAATGTTTCTAGTTCTAGGTTTGGTGTTAGTTCTAGTTTTAATTGTTATTCAGCGTTAGATTGTTGTATATTTTTTATAACTAAAAGTGGAACTAACACTAGACCTAGAACTAGAATCATTCGGGTTTAGCCGTCTTAAGAGACTTGCGGCTAAACCCGAATGTTTCTAGTTCCAGGTCTAGTGTTAGTTCTAATGTTAGTGTTAGTTAGTGTTCGGATTTTTGATCATAACAGACGCTCCCTTCTCCGTATTAATCCGTTATATCAAGGTTTTACTGTAGTTGCTTTAGCAGTGGCATATCTACTTCCTTAAATAAACACAAACACTCAGTATAATGCTTATTCAATGCTACGAATCAAATTCAACATAATAATGTAGCCCAGAGATGTAATTTGATCATAAATTCTAACATATTAAAATTTAGGTTAATAAAGTTGACCAAGACCCCTGGGGCTTGAGCTTATGAAATGAGCTCAATTGCCAAGTCGTTTCGAATTGTTTCCAAAGTTCTAGTTTAATCGCCCAACGATATTCCTCTAATAAAGGTTATAACCTCGATGGTAGTCGGAAGTTGTCTTAACTTTGTACAATACCTGGAAAAAAGGCACGATGTGTAACAACAAAAACGAAATCTATTAAGCCATTCTAAGAATCCTCCTCCACATTAGAATCTTATCTCGATTAGTACTGATGCGTTGTTCCTGGATTAGATAAGTTATATTTTTACCACAAGTAATTTTTATGCAGCAAAAATGAAATAGATGTTTTGAATTGATTTTCAAAAACTTTTAGTAATCTCTAGTTTTAAGTTATATACTTCTAACACCATATTTTTTAAGACACATTGTATAATAGCTTATTTTATGTAACATTTATGTTTATTAAAAATACAATAAACGTTTAAACTAGAATTTATCATGAAATATGGAAATCAATGTATGACGACAATTTTACGACCTGCGTCCTATCCTATTCGTTTCTTGATATACTTGAATTTGCCTTAAAAGCTTTGTTAAATGTATTGCAGCGAGCGGATCGGTGTAATCGCGAAATCTACTAATTTGAGGTGGCTGTACAACTTGTTGCATTTGCATTTGTTGAGAAAGTGTAACTGATGCAGTGCTGGCTTTGATTTTTAACACTTTAACTTGCTGCTTCAAGTCGACAACTTCTTTGTATAAAGCCATCACCATAGTTATTTCTTCTTCTTTATTGCTAAGACACCTTTCCATATTTTCAAGTTGCTTTACGAGCTCTTCGTCGGGTTGGTTGCCCATTTCGGCTATTTTGTTCGATAAATTTTCATATTCTCTAAAAATAAATTAATTAATTTTAGATTAAACGAAATGATTTTTTAATTTTTTAAATACGAGTTGAGATAAGCAAATTCATTGTGAAGATTTGTTAAAACTTCTTTAAGATTTTTTTCTTTTCCTTTCAAAACAGTACTTGGTTTCGTATCTAAGGATTTATCGGGTTTAGACCAAACTTTTGTTTTTGTTCGAAACGGCTGTCTGGCAGAGGAACAACGCACACGCATTGGATTGTTTTGTATTATTGGCTACAAATACACGTAGAATATGTTTAGTTGTTACTAATGAGATGGATAATATACCTGCGTAATAGTGCTGGTTGAATAAACACTGCCTTGGTACTTGTTGTAAATTTGTTGAAAATCATTACCTTTCTGTGGCACGCAAGTACAAGTTTTTTGTTTACTTGGGTCTGATGTCCACTTAAATATTCTCTGTACAAAGAAGAATATTTATTCAAGGTTAATTACTACTCAATAATAACTTACATTTGTATCACCCGCTGCTCCAGATTCCATGGCTTCTTCTTCGTCAGGTTCTTCAGGAATCTCCTTAGCCATTTCTTGTAATTGATGATAATTCAAGCTATGTCGGTTTAAGGGACACGCCATTCTTTCATACCTAATAGAACTACTACAATCAATTTCAATAAAATGACTTGAACTTAAAAGAGATTATTACCCAGCTCGAGAACCTATTGTAGAAGCCATAGCGGATAAAGATCTATTTCGTAACTTTCCAGCAGCTATTCCAATATTGTGCGCTAAAGTAGGTGATATACCACTAAGTGGTTGCCTTGTCTTTAAAATATTCATCACTTGTTGGATGTTAATACCTATGTTATGACTGGGACTTGTAGATTTAGTCGGACAAAATGGAATCGCATTTAAATTAAATTCTCTCAAATATCTTTTAGCAACCTGCTTCATTTTCGAGGCGATTGTAGGTAACTCATAATTTCTTGAACAAGTTATCATGTTGTTGTAACATTCCATTCTAGGAGCATTCGGTTCTGAGTATGTATTTTCATCAATAGGAGACAATTGGCGTTGATAATTCAAAACACCTGGATCACCTTGGGAAACATTCTGTTGATAATACTTTTGTGTTAGTTGTGATTGCGTTAATTGCGAGTGTGTTTTCACATTTTGTTGCGTTTGAGGACGAGGTTCGATCAATTCGGAGGATTGTTCATCGAAAGTATAAGAAGGAACAGTTTCAGAACTCGACTTAAATTTCCTATCTTTCGACTTTCTTTTAGCAATATCTCCTCTTGCACTCTCATCGGAATCGGTATCTTTCGCTGCAACGTTATGATATATCTCCACCAATTTCTCAGGATCTAACGAACCTGTTTTTAACGGTTTAGATTTTTGCATTCTCTCGCGAGAAGTCGGCATCAATCGTTTTGGTGGTTGAATTGATTTTTTTGATTTCGGCGATAAAATTGAACCGGAATCGTGTTTCACCATTTTCACCGGTTCCATTTTAAATTTTTTCTCAACGTGTTTTGCGGTTGATTTTACGCTTTTCTTTGTAGTGATGTTGACGGAAATCGTCGATCGTTTATTTAGTTGTTGTTTACGTCTAATTTTTCTTCTGGGAACGTTACTTTTAGAGGGTAAACTAGCTATTGATGATGATCTTGGGTTGAGGTCCTCTTGAGTGTGATCGCCATGATCACTCTGATCCGGTACTGATTCCAAACGAGGTGAGTATTCTAAATATGGAATTAATAAATAAATGTTATTCACTTCATGATTGAAAACGTTACCTGGTTGATCATCTCCGCAAGCTGAATCCTTCAATTTTCTCGATTTTCGCGCTGCGAGGGGTTTATCATATTCTAATTTTACGTGTAGTTGAGAAAGTTTGTTTACAGAATCAGTAATGCCGTTCAAGATATTGTTGATTGTTTGGACGGCAGCACCGGAAGTATCGGTACTGATTATTTGAGAATTTTGTTTCATCATTGCCACGTTGGTATCATCGGGACTTGATGAGATGTTGTCACGTTCGTGGAAGGATTGAGTTAACACAGGGGTTGATAATTTATCCGATGCATTTTGGATGTCATTAAAATCTTTGCACGTGCGGGGCGTTGCCTTATACTTTTTCAGTTCTGGAATTTTTCTAACTGCACTCAGAGGTCTGGGAATTTTTTGATTTCTGCCCGAGTCGGTTTTATTTTGATAGAGCCTTTTCATTTCATCCAATTGATCCTTCAACGAATTACAGCGGTTTTCAGCTATTTCCAGTTGCTCTTCCATTTCTAGCAAATAATTTTTATGACAAAAAAATGGTTTTGGATTAAATTTGTTTATGTTTCTAATTAATTATTCTTTATAGCATCAAAAAGAAAGACTTGTTTTCTTTTGATTGAAAACGAAAACATTAAATAGCCGCTATATTTTTTTTGATAAACAATAGATTGACATAATTTGACAGTGACGGTAACATCATCATGCTAATTGAAAGGTGTAACAAAATTTTAAGAACCTGAATAATACTAATATAGTAATAAATGGCTGTCAATAATCAAGTGGTGCGCGCAGATTTTGATCGGAATAAATGCCATGTTGTGTTCATGCACAATAAATTGCGAAGGCGAAAAGATGATCGATACATTGTCGATCTTGCAAACGGGCTTAAAGATCACGGCCATAAAGTAACGATTTTAACTACGGAGGTTGATAGAAATAATTGTTTTCCAGAACTATTGGTATGTTATAATAACTTTTGTTGTTGATGTTCGAAAGAATTTGTTTTAGCCAAATAAAGGTGACATCGATGTGAAATTTTCAGCAAGTTACATCCCAAGAAATTGGTATTGCTTGAAAGCCATCATCATGGCCATTAGATTATGCATATTCCCTCCGAAACCCACCCCGAAAGTAATCGTGTGTGATACAAACGCAATCGCTTTATTTATTTTATCGAAACTATCTAGTTACAAAACGATTTTATTGGCTCACTTCTCCGCTATACAATCATTGGACTTATTTTCCAATTATTTGAAGGTAACGCCAGATTTATTAACTGTGATGAGTATAACGCATGCCAATGAAATAGTGGTACAAAGTGAATGTTTGGGCGATATATTTCGAAGATCCTTTCCAAATTATAATCGCGACCTCACATTTATTAGCCCTTGCGTAGATACGGGTTCTTGGAAAGACGATTGCATAGATATACATCGAGTAATTCCAGATCTTCCATCGAACGTACACATTTTCGTTGTCTTTGGCCAATACAAAAAAAGATCAAATTTCAAGTTAATTATGGATACATTAGAAGTATTTTGGATCATAGCTGATGATAACTTAAAAGAAAAAATTCACGTTGTAATCGGTGGCAATTGCAACGAAAAACGACCAGAAGAACTCATTTATTACGACGAACTACTAGACGCTATAAAAGATAAAAAATACGGATCACAAATTTCAATATTAAAACAACTTTCGATACAACAAAAAAAGACGTTATTAAAAAAATGTACGGCTGTGTTGATACCAACTAAACATGACCCATTTCCGGATACAATTCTTCAAGCTTTACATATGGGGAAAACTATCATTGCTACTAACTCAGGGTACGCGAAGTACGCAATTACACACCGAATTTCCGGAATACTCGTTGATGCTGATCCACAAAAATTTGCCGCAGCGATGATTAAACTTTGCACTAATCCCATGGTGCATACCTTTATTTGCGAAATGGCAGCCGATGTATTTCGAAGTCGATTCTCTTATCATTGTATGGCGAGAAAAATTAATAGTGTCGTTGAAAAACAAATATCTGAGAGAAAAAATGTTGTCTTATAACAAACGATGTTTGTCCAAAAATTGTAAAATTGCAAGAATAAATTTATAAATGCCTAATTAAATTTGGTTTTAACTTTTTTCCATCAATAAAAATCCATTTCAGAAACACGTAATCAAATTATTTCCACAAATTTCCAAGTTATTAAAGGTCGGGTTGCTCGAAAAAATGTTAAACATCATCTGCACAATATTAGAGCTTTTCACTAAAGTAACAATCTCCAAAAAGAGAACAGCAATATAGTTGGTGAAGACAGAAGAAAGAAACTGACGATCGTGCATACTAAATAACTGGCAGAAAATATCTAATGATTATCAAAGAATTCCAGGTTATTTAGACTGACAAATAATACAAAATGACTGGCATAGAATTACCATATCCAAAATGTCTCTGATAAATAATCTTTGCCGAATCTGGCAGAAAATACCAAATAAATAATAAGGATTCCTGATAACTAATACTATCAATAATATATAAGATACTCAAGCATACCAAATGATTATCAGAGAAATTTAGGTTACTGGAACTGATAAATAATACCAGATGTTTAATAAAGAATACCAGATAAATGACAAAAAATGCAAGATGATTATACAAGAATATCAGATTACTGAGACTAACAAATATATCCAGATAGGTGGCAGAAAATATCAAGTGACTAGAAGGCAATTACAGACAACTAACATAAAATTCCAGATAATTAGAAAAGGATACCAGATGATAAGCAATGCATCTATCTGCTATTTAATTGAAACCAAGCTTATTTACTAATAATAAGAAATTGGAAAAGATATATATAAAAAAATTTAATAGCTGTAAAGTGTTTTTTAATGCTTGATTTTGTAAATTTATTAAATTTTTATCGTATTAGCAGTTAACTATTCAAAAAGTGATACTTACCATGTAGCTTTACATGTTGACTTGCTTTGCTAGTAACCGAATGGCAATCTATATCCATTTCCCCATCTACAATAACAATATCATTTAACAGAAAATATGTGTTTTAAAAATGTGAAAAATTATTCGTTTTCGTTTGCATGAAGTTACATGAAACAAATCACAATGACAAAAATGTCAAAAATTAATGACGCATTGTACATACCTTGATATATTTGCTGTTGATGGTCTTCAATGCGAAAATACGGATTACTCATTTTCATGTAGTAAAAGTGGTTCAAATCGCTCAAAGTTGTCTTGTATTCCCACCATTTACAAAAATCCGTATGCCAGTGAAGTATTAAGGCGTCATCTTAACCCACAGTCTACAGTGTTCAAAATTTTTGGTTTGGCAGTTAGGTTAAGCGATCTTTTCTTGTTTGATATAGGTAAATGTCAAATGTTCACGGCTTTTAAGATTTTTGAAGGACAATCTAATAATCCTTTTTCAAGTCTTTTTAACATTTATCAAATTGATAAAAATAGAGAAACAGATCAGGGGATCCCCACACTAATATAGAAAGAGATGTATTATTATCACTTCAACTACTGATTGTTAGATGGCAATCTTTTTTCCGTATAGCCAGTTCACGTTCTCTATAATAGAGGTGCACGTACCACAATTTGAGGAACGATGAAAATTTTAATAAATGAACGTTACTCCCATCTAGTGAGTAATAGCTGTAATGCAAATTTTAACGAGTTATATTTAACAGTTTCCATCTTTATATATTCGGCACACTATAAATATTACTACTATAAATTTAACAGCTTTATTTTAAGCTCAATTAAAAATAAAATACGTACAAAAGCATTAAAATTTTATTTAAATATAATTTTCGAATTATTTAACTTGTAAAATATTGATGATTAATATTAAAATAGATAACATTTTTTAATTACGTATATAACATGTAATTAATTGCTAATTTATATGTCGGAATATTAGTTGAAAGTTGAACCTGAATATTTCATAAATATAAATATAAAATAAAAGCCGCTGCGATGGAAGCTTATATAACTTAATAATTTTCATTAAAAAAACTATCAATTTTGAGTTTTAAGCGTACATTGTGCTACATATCCATTCTTCTAAGGAAAACTCCGCATTGTCTTTGCGATCCTCGTTTTTACTCTCAAATATACCTGAAATATCAAACACAAAACAGACAAGAATTAAAATTTAGCAAAACTCAATTAATAATTATTAGATAATCAACACCAAAACATTCCTCAAAAGCTAACAATTAGGTTAACACATAAGTGACATAGATTTAAAAATCAATGTGTTAAAAGTGTGTATCGTACAGAACTCGCTTGAGAAGTGCAATAATTTAGTAAATAAGCAAGTTGCAAGACAAGCGTTAATTTTAGTAATACAAATATTATTACATCATACCATGTTATAAATATACAACACAATTTTGTTACTTTATTAGTAGAACTTGTCGTTAATTCATATAAACCCATAATAATTATTGACATTAAAACCTTTCTCGTTGTATCGATTTACAAACCTATTGTCGTTTTCTTGATCGTATTGGATTGCTCGAATAAGAGCATCTTCGCTAATACCACCTGTTTGAACTAGAAATAAAATACAAAAAAAATACATCCTGACAAAACAAAAGCTATTGAATTTACAGCAAATATAAACGTTTATAAGACTAATTCATAAAGATTTATGAGTTAATATAAAAAAATATATTTACCTAACATCGTTTTTAACTTGACCGCACAATTTATGAAATCGTCAAATTCCATTTGACCGTTTTGATTGCCATAACGATGCATTAAAATGTTTAAAACGCGATAATTTAAATTGTATCCTGCGGAGGTGAACGCTTGGCGCAGCTCAAAACCATCCAGAGTTCCCGAATTGTCTCTATCATACAAACGGAATGCCATCTAAAAAGTAACATAACATTCAGTGAATTAAATTTCGACATTTGCTTTAGTTAGTAATACCTTCCAGTCTCTTACATCATGCCATAAAGATTTAAATTCTTCGAATCGTAACTTTCCTGAGTGATCAGAATCGAGCATTGCAACCATACTCCTACAAACGTCCTTTGAAAATCCTTTATTTTGTAACTCTACAAAAATTTCAACCAGTTTACAAAAAATTTAGATTGATTTTAACGAAGTAAAACGTTATTTTTGCAACATCTCTAAGCATGCATAAGATATAGCTTCTGTACACAACAAAAAATGGAAAATACTACCGTCCTTATCTGATAGCAAACCTCTGGCACTCTCTAAACCTACCATAACTGGCCGGATGTGGTGGATTTGATGGATCTGGAGGCGCGGTAATAATTTCATTGTCGATCGAATTATAAACTCGATTATCATTAGTTCTTTGCGGTTGCATTTGGCCGGCCAAACTACCAGCACATAAATTCGCAAGAATACCACCGGTACAAGCTCCGCACATATCTTGCGGATTTTGGTTTGATTTGTCTTTGCACATAAGCATACAAAGGAAACAGCACAGAGCGCCGATGCACAAAAGCATCGACTTGTCCTGGCAGCAAGGAAAATCCCCTTGTTGACCGCCAGGACCACCTTCCACACCTTCCACTTGTTTCATACCCATCTTCTCTATCGGACCATCTAAATTTACAATAATAAAAGAAATGTTATCAGCCGAAAATTGGTTAGACAAATAACATCCCAGTTATTAACCGCATTCCATGTTTTTTAATGCAACCATCTATTTGTAAGTATGTAATTGGTTTTATGCATACAGTGTTCTTTATAGATTTTATTGAAAAGTTAATGAGAAATAAATTAAATATTTAAGCTGTGTGACATTCAATGTGACAAGGTATTAAACAGGTGTTAGAATAACTTTACTGTTCATAAGAAAAATAAAATAATTAAATGAGGTTATTTGTGTTTATAAAGTGGACAGGTTATTCATGTAATATTTTGTGGATGGAGACGTTTAAAGGGATAAAAGCAAAAGCAGAAAAGAACTTCACAACTCATACAAGTGTTAGAAAAGTAGTTTGCCAAATAAAATATACCAAATTCAACAAAAAATTATTACAGAAAAATAAGATGTTCTTCACCGAGTTTCACAAAACTCTGCTGGAAAGATTTATCTGCCCATAAATAATGGCATTAATTGACGACCAACAATATTATTGACATAAAATTTAAGGTTGCATCAAACGATTCGTACAGTTCAAGCAACCCATATGAGACGATTCAAGAAATCGAAGGAAATGTTACCACAACGCTGGTAACCACTAGTAAACCGCAGTAACCGCTAGTTGTTGTCATCTGGAAGCAGTGTCTAGCTTCTATAAGGATAGTCTAGTTTTCCATCTGTAATATCTTGTCTATTTCTAGAGATATCTAGGCTTCTGTCCGTAATATATTGTCAATTGTAATATCTGTCAGATATATTAATCTGTCGGTAGAATCTAGTTTTCTGTAAACACTATCTAGTCTTTTACAAACAGTATCTAGTCTTCTGAAAACAATATTTAATATTTTGCAAGTATCTAGTTTGCTATAAGCAGTACCTAATCTTCTGCAATTTGAATCTGGTCTTCTGCAAACATTATTTAGTCTTCTGTAATCTAGCATCTAGTCTTTTGCAAGCAGTATCTAGTGTGCTATAAGAAGTATCTGATCTTCTACAATAGAAATGTTTAGTTTTGCAAGCACTATAATTGCCTTCAATCTGTTTATGGTTTTCTAAAACATTCAAATAGTGTGTAGTCTTCACCAAGCAGTATGTAGTCTTTTATTAGTTATTTCTAGTGCTCCATAACGGGAATCTGGACTCAGAACTTTTAGCGTATTATATTTTAAATTTAATTTTTCATAATCTATTTTTCAACTGTTAATAATCTATCAATGCTATATAAATATGCAAGAAAGTTGAATATGGACCACTCTAATTAAATTTGGTTACTACTTTTGAAACAACTTGTATAAAAATACATTCAAATTAATAAATTAAGAAGTAAATGAAGTATTAAACAAAGCAAAACTATTCTATATTAATATTGCATATCTAATGAATCAAATTAAAATCTGACCTAATCTCATAGCATAATCCAAAACTTGTTTTAATTCCATCCAATCAACTTCGCCGTCCTCACCAGCCAATTTTTTGAAAAATTCATAAACTTGATCGTTAACCTGATTAATTTGTGGTGTCGGTTGAACGTTTCGAACCTGTTATTAACAAAAAATATGTATCACAATTCGAAATTGTTGTATATTGTTAGCAGCCCTTATAACGACGTTATATTAAGATTTTATAGATGTTCGTAAAACCTAATAATCAAATACAATTTTAGAACTAACTGAATTGAAATGATTCTTACCCTTTTATCAACTTCACCCATGCCGATTTGAGCGTCATTTTCTCTAAAATATATAAATACAAATTAGTTAAGAAAATTAATTAAATTGATATCATTTTAAAATAGGAAACGAGTAATTTTATTAGTTATAAAAGAAAGGAACATTTTAAAATGATACAGCACAACTCTTCAAACCAAATTTATTAGTTTCACATCAACAACTTTGTAAAGGTAATTTAATAATTTTCTTTTAATAAACGTATAGTTCTTGCTTGTGGATTTTCATTGCCAAAGTGCTCAACCCAATGTACCAAGATATAAAATTGAAATTCACACGAGAACTAAGTGATGTTAATATTTTAGTCAATAAAACTTAATAGTATTGATTAAAGCATTGTTAAATGTACAAAAAGAAAAACAAAATGAAATATCTTATTTTACTTAAAACATAATGTTTAATGTAATTATTTACAGTGCAGTCTCAGTAACAGATCTAAGAAAAATGAAATGTATTATTTTTTTTTTTGAGGTTCTTACTATTAATTTTTAGTTTTAAATACTATTAATTTGTGGATGTTATAGACACCGCACTGTTACATTTTAAATCAACAATAACATCAAAAGAAAAATGTAGACCCTAAATAAATGTTCCAAGATAAATGCATATTTGTATACAAAAGAAAGAATCAGAAGTTTTGGATTGAGATCATATTGGGAAATTAATATTTTTCAACTAACTATGATGTCAAATTAAATTTAAAACAGATTAAAAGTTCATCTCATAACTTATTATTCAAACCAAACAACCACAAAAATGTTCAAAAAAGCAAAAGCAACAAAGCTTTTATTTTCGATATTGATAATTATAATTATTTTGCTGATAATAACCAGAATATGATGTGTAACCTGTATTATGCGGATGTGGATAGGGATACGCAGATTGAGCTTGTGCTCCTGGAGCACTATAAGACCCAGGTGGATAAGGAGGATGAGGATATCCTTGGGTAGGATAAGGAGCTTGACTAGTGGGGTAAGGAGCTGTGTTAGTAGGATAAGGTGGTGCTGCTGAAGTTGGATATGGAGGTGCAGTAGTGGGATAAGGAGATGGAGAATTTGGATAAGATGGAGCTCCAGTTGGATATGGGGCTGGTGAACTTGGATAGGGAGCACTCGCTTGTGGCATGGTATTATTACTGCTTGGATACGGAGTGGAAGAAGAGTTGCTGTAAGTACTTGAGTAATAAGAACCGTGATAGCGTGGTGGGCCAGAAAAACGAGAGACTCGATTGTTATAGTCACCAGTTTGAACTTTATCAGAATTAGAGGACACATACTCCATATTGTTTTGGTGTTCTGAGAAGATTCTCAACAGGAATTCGCCTTCTTCACTTGGCTCAAAAGTGGACGGAACTATACAGTACGTTCCTGGAGGTAATTTGAACCTGCAGCTAACCTCACGAAGATTTATAAATGATGGAGATCGAGCCACTGAAGCATTATATTTGAAAAAATTTAAGTCTAAAGGTTTTGATACTCTATCTGGATATGGTAACTGCAATAACAAAAAATATATATTATTAAATTAATTACAACGCAAAGCGATAACTTACATGGTAAATAGCAAAACCAACAGTAAGGACATCTATACCCATATTACGTTGAGACCTTCTATTTTTTTGCATCAATGCAACAATAAGCGTACATTTTCCTTCTTCATCATCATCATCAACTTCCGTTAATGTAACCCTATATTGCGGATTATGCCAAAATGTTTCTGTAAAAGAATTAAATGATCTTAGTTGCATAGTGGAATTAATCTTTAGTGCAGTTACCCAAATAATTTCTACATCCTCCAGCTGTAACACCACGAACCCATTCACCTTCAAAGAACGAAACTTCCCAACGTTTTTTATGTCCTTCACTTAATTCTTCTTCCGTCAACGAATCCGGATTTAAATTACATATTTCTAAGCGATCGAAATGTTGCATAAAATCTTTGAATGATATCCAAAATTCGCCATCATTATCGAATGTTAAACCTAATTCTTGTTTTTCATGTTCCGGAATGAAACGCCATTCGGGTGATTTATCACTCCAAGGTCCGTTCCATTCTGCTTCGTTTCCCCATGGATTTCTTAGTCTAAGTAATGGAATCTTTCCTCTAGAGTTGGGCGTTTCTATATCGACGTAACGCACTCTAGTGATACTATATGCGTGACCTCTGATTAAACCTTCGCCGGTTTCCGCTTCTAAGACATTTGGATCGGGCTAAAATTAATTAATTATAAAAGAATTGTGTTTATTATTCACAAATTAAATTAATTCTCTAAGGATTAGATTACAAGATATTATCTTAATTAAATTATTATTTTAATTATAACAATTTAATGGTTAAATAGCGTGAATAAATAAACTCACCTCTAAAGATGCGCCCATTAATGAAGATCTTTCAAATGCTTTTAAAACAATTTTAAATAAATTAGGTGGAGAAGCATTCATTTCGTACATTTCGGTAACACCTCCAGTAAAATCTTCCATAGCTTCACATGTTGAGCCTCCTTTTAAAGCTTCATAAGAACCGTGTAATCTATAATATGAAAAATTTAAATAAATTGAAAAGAAAAGTTACTAAGTGTTTACTTGGCGTAAGCTTTTTCTAATAAGGCACTCCAAAATTCGTTATCTTCAGTTGAATGTAAAAATACTAACTGCCCGCGATACGTGGGTAACCTATCGTCTATAACTACGTCAACCCAGCGACCATATTGCCAAAATCTACAATCATTAAGGAAAATTATTATTTTTAAACGTTAAGAAATTATGTTATCAATTAAATTACCTGAAGTGAAAAATGCCTGCATATTTTTCTTCAAATCCCTGATCATCAGGAACTACTTGGAAGAACAATCTTTTATATAATGTTAGGTTTGCGACAGCTGCCAGTAACCAACAGTCACCCAATTCACCTTGTTGGACGTCGAATCTCGAGTAACCCTCGACGAAAAATTGAGGATTATCGGAAATTTCCTGTAAAAAATTTTAATTTATTTATTAATCTAAAAACCTTTTAGTGAAACGTGTTTGTTCTAATAAATCAATCATGTCGCAATAACAGAGATTATCGATCCGAGTACACGAACGAAATAGAATTGGATTTAACAGTTTTGAGTTCTTTAATCTATGGTACATCTGCGAAGTGCACATAATATTATTACAAGAGGAAATTATTTCTTTGAGAATTAATAAGCAAGTATCTACTATGATGGAGGGATAAAGGACCGACTTACATCCTTACACTTGATGGAATTGAGAGTCAAGGAGAACAAACACTCCATTAGATCAATTATTAGCAGTACTTCTACTCTGTATGTTGCAATCAGCAAGCAATAAGATAAGTTACTATAATCAGATGTACATATACTGCAAACAAAAAACCAGATACTAGAGAGATACCCTAGATACTGCAGGCACAAGATAAGAACAGTATTTATAAAACTTTGAATAAAGTGAATGTTGAAACGATATTAAGTTCAAAATAGCTATAAGTTACTTGGGTATTTCATTTAATTAATACTAATGGCAGTACTTTTTATATTTCAGGCAGAAAACTAGATACTACTAATGAAAGCTTGTCTTCAAGCTACTTGCAGACGACGACGTTCTTCTATCTGTAGTATATAATTTTCTGCCGGTAGAATCTAGTCTTCTGCAAGCAATATCCTGTCTTCTGCAAACAGTATTTAGTCTTCTAAAAGCAGTATCTAGTCTGCATTACGCAGTATCTAATTTTTTACAGTGAGAATCTGCTTTAGATACAGCTTTTATTCTTTTGCAAACAGTATTTAATCTTCCGTATACAATATGTATTTTTAAACAGTATCTATTAATTCCTATTGCGATTAGTTGCAACTTGTAAAAATGGATTTAATAGTAACAGGAAGTTTTGATTATTTATCAAAATGAACAATAAGCAACGATATTGATATTGATGGTGTTATCGTATTGTGGTATTAGTGGTTTGATAAACAATAAAAAAATTAAGCGCTACGTTTAATAAATAATAAATAAAAGCTACAATAATAAATAATAATTGTTTTTAATTATCTACTTACGTGTGGACGTTTCCATTCATAATATCTATCTGGTCGTCTACTATAAAACAAGGAAGAATCAGTTGGTGGAAAATCTGGATCTTCAAATAACGTTCCATTATCTAAACATTCGTCGCGCAAAGAATAGAAATCTTGAGGTTCATCTCGTTTAAATCCCGAACCTCGCTCACCAAACTGAAATAAATTACAAATAAAAAATTAATTAAAGAATACATACGTCTTAGTTTCCATAAAATCATATACTTAAATTATTTCTACCTTATATATTTTATGTTTAATAGAACCAACAGATTTACACGTTTTACTAGTATCTTCGCTTAGTTGAATTTCAAGAGACGATTTATGTTTTGGTTTCGGCGAAATAATAACGAGTTTTCGAGAATCACTATATTCTTTAACATCAGAAATATGGCGAGGTGATGGAATCAAATCCAACGGCGCAACAGTATGCTTTGTTAATTTAGTTTGAACAACTTTCAGTTTACTAATTGAAGTTTCGGCGATTTGATTTGAATTTCCATTCAGATCATCAGCTTTAGACTTTCGATTATCTAAAGGCGTATCTGATTCGCGACTTTTACGCCGAAATAATTTATTAAAAATCGGCATAATCAAAAACTATTTTATAACAAAATGTTTAATAATAATTGTTAGAAACTTTAAAATACGACACAAGCTCTTGTTAGAATCGCGACGCGAATAAAACTAATCGGAAAGTGCGACGAGCGGATATGGTCGAAAAGCTGATAAAAATGTGCGATATCACATTAAAACCCAAGAGGAGGGTGTACTCCACCTAATGGTTAATTAAATTGTGTTATCAATATTTACTCGGTTTTTAACTAACATCATATGTCTAGGAAACGTTACGAATAATATTTATAAAACTACATTTCGCAATTTATTATTAATATTAGTTTTTCAACTATTGTTAAGGTAACAACGATAAAAATTTCAAACAGTAATAATGTAAACACCTATCCTATTTCAAACTATGTACTTATTTCACGTACCTTAAATGTTTTAAAGAATTTGAATCCTATTGTCATTTAGATTATTTTAATATTTTTTATAAATGAATTAATAAAATCTATTTTTACTTAGATTTTTCACTACTAACGATAAGTAGAACTTGATAGAAATCGTTATGCTTTTCGCAGCATCTTGTAATACACTGCCGTTTTGGCTCCACGTTCATTTCAAGATTGTTGGCGCCTGTATTATTGATTTTGTCTTACTTATATCTTTTTATCATGTATTTTATTATTATTATTATTTCATGTATCTAAATATATTAATAAAAAAATGTAAATTTATAAATAATGAGCACTCACCCAAGACTCTTGTTTCTCAACCTTTTGAGCTGTGAGCATGGGTTCTTCAACAACTTCGGTAGGTGGTTCATCCGGGCTTGGCACATGCCACGTGGAAGGATCGGCTTGCCACCCATATCCATTTCCATGCCAGCCATAACCGTTAATTGCACTCGGTGGTTGATTATACGCAACAGTTGGATACGCGTTATAATATTGTTGCGGGTTTACAGCAAATCCATACATTTTTAATTCAAGTTATGACTCTATAAAAGAAAAGGAATAGACATTTAACACATCGCCTCTTTGTTAATTACAGCTCAATTAAGAAATTATGGGTTGTGAATGAAATGTTTTCTTTTAATCATCGTCAATTTAAAGTGGTTAAAATATGTTGAGGATAAAAACTTAGTAGAGAAGTGGTCTTTTAGATTAAAGATAACGTAAGTAATAGATAACGTAAATGCACTTGATTGTTCAAGTAGTTGTTTTGGTATGAACATTGTAAAACTATCAGACTTGGTTCTTTATATTATTAAAAATTGTTGTTATCTTTCGGGAGGACCATCGTATTCTAGATTGTTATTCTCGAAAAGAAGGAACATTTTTTAACATATTTATCATTTACTCAAAACGTCAAGTATAGGAAAAAGTTTTAAAATTTCCTTAGACCTTGCAAATATAGAGGAAAGTTACATGGTGGAGTAGCACTATTTCGTACGCATATCAGCAAGCTGAACAGCTTCTAGTCAGCAGAATATAGCCACATTAAAAGTCGAGATAAAGACGGTCTGTGAGAAACAGGACGAGTCGGGCTGAGCATAGTGAAATCCAATTAAAACAAAGTATTGAGATGATGACATCAATGGTTGCTGACCAAATACGATAACAGTCCAGTGCTCAGAAGAAGAAAGTGGTAGAAAATCCTCTGCTTTGGTGTTGCAATTATATTCGGCAACATCTTGGATACATAGTCCACCGAGAACTGTCTGTAAAGTAAGGTCTGCACGCCATGTCCTCGTGATGACGAAAAACACAGTAAAACTATACGAGGTGACTAATATGGTTCATGCCAAGCCCAATATCGTGGTATTTAAGAGCATTCAAAATTGTGCAGCCACATTGCCCTCATACGAAGTCCTGCTAGAGTATGAACCTCAAATATAAAAGATGCACAGAAAATAATAAAGGACGCATTGTGTTAGCCTTAAGTACTCCTGACCTTAATGGTTTTTGTAAACACATCCCACCCAAAATTTCATAATTTTAACTTTACCAGGCGGAAAACTTTACAATGTGCTGTTAAGTATACTTGTTTAACGATAAGAAACTTATATACAATAGACAAATCGCATTAAACTATTACTCAGTTTCACAATCTCTGGCTCACCAAATAACGGCCGTAAATACAGATATAATCCGGCCCTGGTACGATGACTATAAGAGTGAGCTGTATTTATTTCCAAGAAGAAAACACCTGAGTTAGATTGAATTGGCCTTCTGGCTCATTGTGTTAACAAACAAAAAATTGTAACAATTGCTAATTTCATTTCCAATAAAAATTAAACAAACAAAAAAATAATTTTCTATTTCCACGTAGATAACAAAGTGAAGGATATGTATAGAACTTAACGTGGAGATTCTTATATACAGACTCGAAGCCAAATTAAACATCCAGGTAACTGTAAATTACTTCCTTCTCGCGAATTCAATTATAAATATTTCAACTATAAATCTATTAGCAGAAAATCTCTTAATTTAGATTATGTGATGCCTTATTATGGAAATAAGTACAAACAACCTTGATATTACAACAGTTGTTGGTGACCTTTATTTGAAATTAGGCCAGGGAGAGCGAAAAATAAAACTTGAGAAATATGTACTCACTCTGTAAATTGAGTAATTCACTGTGCTTTCTACAAAAAGTAAGATATATAAACAAGTACCATATCATGTTATTTTTTTACTAATGTAACATAAATCAAATGATGTCATGACTTATTTCTGTCATATATCTATTTTAACGTAACTAAAATATAATTTCAAAGGTTTCTCGTTAAACGTTGTTTCCTAAATTATTAATTATTATTTTTTTTTATATAATGAAAGTAAACACGCACATGAATAATCAATATCCCCTAACCTAACACCAAATGTATTCATTAAAAAATTAAATTGCGTAGGTGTGGCGCCCTTTATTCACTTTTTGATCATGTACGGCAACAAAAACTTCACACACTCGTAACCTTGATGTTAACATATTCATACGAACCTGAATATTAAAAAACTTCACAATACTCTAATCCGCAACACGAAAGTCATACGTTATCACGTTCCGTCAGTTCTAGGTCATAGTGGTTAAATAGTTAATATAAAATTTTGTTCACTGATTTTTAGAAATTTGAGTTCTATTTTAACAATTCACGAAGAAACGTCTGCGAACGATTTGGTACTTGACTATACTAAAAATATACCGTCTTTCTATACGTTGACCGAGTTCTGTTGACGGTCTGAGTCTGACATTGTATTTAGGTGGGAGAGGATTCAGATCTAAACCCCAACGTTAATAACATCTGATTCTAAATATAAACTGGAATAAAAGTGACTAATAAGATAATCTTTGTCTTTTTATTTTTTGACAAATACATACCAATTATTTTGAAGGACTATTTCATTTAACGATTTCACCTTCAATTTCCAAAGCAGCAAAATATTTAATTATTCAACAGTTTAACAGTTATCTATCCAAGATGTTAACGTCACCAATTAAAATGACGTCTTTTCTGACTAATAAGTTATATTTTTACTTTGACTCACCTCGGAAATGTTAACAAAAAAAAACTGTTAGGATTACTAATTGGATTTTTAATTGGTTGGTTTTATGATAAGATAAAACATTTTGTAACACATATATATTTTGTCTAATATAATACACATACAGTATGTTATACATATTTTGAAAATCTCGATCCAAAACACATTTAACAAACTCTATCATCATATTACATTCGTTTTTTTTTTATTATTTTCTTCGAGGAAAAAACGGGTCCTCAAAACATGTAATATCAAATAATTTCCAAATCATCGTAACTTCTACACATTCACCTACACATCTTCAATTTCCAAGTTTCAAACGCGTCCTCTCGAGATATGCATGTTTTGTAGACACCGTTTCCAACGGAAATCGATGGAATATATTCCACGTTATAAGTGATTCCATAGTAGTACATACATATATGATATATACATCCTTAAAGGTACTTAAAGCATTATTGTATTCCGTTATAACTTATACTATGTGTTGTGGATCCACAGAAAAGTTAAACGATTTTCGTTTTGGTAATAATAATTATTACCGTAATAAAAATTAAAATAAAAACTCAGCACCTAATTATTTAATTTGTACGTCTTTTTGTGTTTTTTCTTCTATTCAAAAATCAAAAAAAAATTGGTAATAATAAAGAAATAATTAAAGAACTACATATGATGGATACGATAATCCTCGTGGTAAATTTATGTAGTTAATCCATTTAGTTTTACTACATAAATTTGCAAATGGGATTCTAAAAACTATTTAAGTTAATAAATTCCTTAACATTAAACAATGTCTGAGCGCAATCTTTTATTTATATTCTCATTTAAATCGGTGGGCAATAATTATATTAATAAGACGAATCTTGAGCGTTTTCAATACAAATTCTTAACGCATTTTATTGTCCTTGATGCAGGCATTAAAGCAAACCAAAATGTAATAATAAGATCATTTTATAAATCCAGCTTAAATTTAAGTTTTTTTTTTGCAATGAGAAACTTGAGCAAAATATGTTAAGTGATTCGTTAGTATCCATCATACCAATTCGCAAACGCATAGAGATCTTTTGTATAATATGTATATGTTTGTTTAAAATAGGATTTTTATTATCGTTTTTTTTTTAACCACAACCTTTAAACTTAGTAAATATTTGTAAAAATCACTAATTAAAACAGTTTTCTTTCTTGTATAACACAACCATAGGTTTCTTAGAAATAGTGTCATGACAGCCCTACTTTTTTAGTTATAATTTTTTGTTTCATTTTATTTTTATGGTTAAATTAACATTTCAAAAATTAATTTTTTTTCAACAAAAATAAATCACTTAATAATATTTTCTTAATATGTACATAATTATTCTTTATCAATAATAAAGCATGTTCTAACACCCTGTATAATTAAATAAAAATTACGTTACCTAAGTGCATAGACCTAACGTGTTACATTTTTGTATTTTTTTCTTGTTTAGCACATGCACTACTAAAACTATATTATACTTCACGTTTCTTTCTTTTTTTATGTTTATCAATTTTTTTAATTAATGGACAGATATCTACGTTTATAGAAAAAAATATGATCTCAATCATGCGTCTTCTCTCTCTCCTCCTTTGAAAAGTCATTTATAAAATGGGGCATACGTTAAACTATCGTACTGTTTAAGTTTTTTAATACGTGTTTCGTGTGATATAACGATTTATGGGTGGGTAAACAGTTACTTATGGTGAATGATATAGAATTTGTATTTTTTTTTCATTTACATACGAAGTTAGGCTAGGTTTATATCAGATTAGTTGCATGCAATTTAACACAATCCATAGTTCACAACTCAATGGCATCAGTTTACATTAAACCAAACAATCGTTTGAGATAAATTGCATCAAAAAATGTCAGATTCACACCATTGCGAAACATCGTCGGTTAGATTTTCTTTTTTATTTAATTAAAGGAGAAATTTAAAACTTTATCTTTTCCGGCTATGATTAGAATTACTTTTCTATCGGTATTGTTAAAGAAAGAATTTTCATTTTTAGATCCAAATTTGTCTTAATTTCGTCATTAAATAATAATGTTATCATAAATTGAATGAGGCAATAAAAACGATTAATGTACATAAGAATGAGCCATCATTTAAATTCATAAATTAAGTTTTTCTGATGAAACTGAAGAAAAAAGATATATTTAGTATTTGATATGTACGAGATCATTTTTTTTTAATAATAAATTAAAACTTATCAATTTATAAAATGTTGTCTTTTTCAATTTATTGTCAAATATTAATTTTTCAATTAATCTAAAACAATTAAAATTATAAAAATGACTTTTTTCATCGCTTTATAATTATCCGGCTCATTCTTTAATACAATTCTTAATAAACGTTTTAAATTTTTCGATCAAAATCTTAACTAAACCGATTCATTATAACATTCCACAACGGAATTACCACATATCTTTAACGATATACAGCCAATACGAGGATCTTAACAACTAATTTCGGATTCGTTCGCAAACTTATTTGCGTTATACAAATATGCGTTCGAATTCGAATAAGAACCGTTCGCGATGACTCCGTTATTACCTGTACCTGTAATGTTTGTGTATTTTTTGTTTTGTCCAATCGGTGCCGTTTGTTTAATTAAAGCACCGGCATCTAACGATAAACCGGATATTAACGAATTGTTTGTCGAATCAGTTTTCGATCCGTTATTATTTGGATTAATCGAATTTGATAATTGTTTAACGACACCGTTCTGATTTGTATCTGTTACAACCAATTGATCACAATTCTAAAAAGAAAGATTTAGAAAAGAAATTTTCGAAAATAAGGATGTTACCTCGTCGTCTATTTCTGCTTGATTCGTTACTAAATCTTGAATAAGCGGTTGGGTCGATTTTGAATGGGACATGTTAAATGATGTTTCCCATCTTTCTGGTACTCCAGGTAAGAGTTTATCCATCGAAGATGTTGATCCACTTGCCGTATCAGATCTTAAAGTATCATTTGGAATGAGGTAGTCTATGGTTCCTTGTGGTACCTAGAAACGCGTTTATTTTAATTTATTCTAATTATTCCAAGACACATTTACCTGTAAACAATTATCACCATCGCTGTTATTTGGTCGCATGACAGTTGCATCTCGTTCATTTGACGGTGGTCTGCTAAATATTGGTAAAGCTTTTCCAACAACTGCAGGATCTTGCGCACAATAATCTAACCGTTCTAAGATAAGTGCAAATGTAGGCCGTTGATCAGTTATAGGATGCCAGCATTGTGTCATTATAGCGTATACTGGGTCTGAAATTTTTTTATTTTAAATCAAAATATGTTATTAAAAAAAATAATAACCTGGGCAATTAATTGGCGATTCTAATCTTCCCCCACTAGTAACTAATTGCATCACATCACGATTTGTACACCCTGTATATGGCATATACCCCAAAGACATAATCTCCCAAAGTAAAACGCCGAAAGACCAAACATCCGTTTTTGTTGTAAATATACCATCTAAGAATGCTTCAGGTGGCATCCATTTTATGGGCAACATTGCTTTACCACCTTTTCGATAATAATCAGACCTATAAATGTCCCTTGACATTCCAAAATCGGCTATTTTCACGACACGACCCGGTCCTTTTGTTGTTAACAAACAATTCCTTGCGGCTATATCTCTATGAATAAATCTATTTTCCTCCAAATATCTACATCCTTTCGCAATATCGATTGCGATTAAAATTAAATCTTTCATTGTTAATGGGCTACTTCGGTCCTAAAATATAAAACAAGAATAAGCAAATAAAAAATAAGTGTTAATAAGACTTACAGGTTTTGGTCGTGACTCACGTAAAAAGTTCTTGAGATCCCCTCCAGCTAATAACTCTAATACTATGAATCTTGGGTGTTTATCAAAACAAACACCAATAAAATAAACGATATTGGGATGATTAAATTTCGACATTATTAACGCTTCCATTAGAAAATCCATTTCCGCTTGATTTGTTGACATTTCCGGGAGAGTTTTTACCGCTACCGGCATTTCAACAGCATCACCCGACCTTTGCCTATAAAATCCTTGGTACACTTCGCCAAAAGCACCTTGCCCTAAAGCCCTAAAAATAAAAATTACATTATAAATAATACACTTTGTATAATTAAATAAAGAAATTTAATTTTAAGATAATCAATCTTATAAAATGCTTACCTTCGAATTAATTATAATTTTTAAATTGTTAGTTATAACTAGAGAAAAAATTGTGTTTTTTTTTTTACTATAAAAACTAAAACAAATAAAATATATAAAAAATAAAATGCAACAACATAAAATGTATAAAACAAAATAAAACACAAAAATTTTAAGAGAATAATGCATCTTTTATTACATAAAAAAATCTAAACAAATTCAAACACAAAAAAATCAAAAGAAATAACTATGTACGATATTTACTTACTTAACAAGTCTTAATTGATTCCTTGGTATGTCTTTGAGGTCTTTTAAAGTATAAACGATACCGCCAAATTCGTAATTAGGGTTGTATTCGGTCATCATACTTTCAGATGCGACGCGTAGCCGATTTAATTGTAAATCGGCACCGCTGAGACCTTTTCTTCGAAAAACGCTGGTTGCGCGGTGTTGATAACGATTATCTAAAGAAATTAATTAATAAAAATAAGTTAATTTCTAAAACACTTACATAAAAGGAAACATAAAATTCCCATCATAGCTGTTAATATTAAAACACCCCCAGTTAAAGCTGGAACAGTCCAAGATGGAAATACATCGTCTTGTTGAACAGCTGAAAACGTATGATTAATTATTAAGAGATTATTCAATATAATGCAATTTATTTTACATAAACATTCTTTTCCATCTGGTCCTAATTTCCAAGGCGGTGGACAAATACAAGCCACTTCAGACTGTTGCGCATCCAAAGGTAAACACCGATAATAACAACCACATCCTGATATGGCGGGGAGAATTAAAATTTCTCCTTGACCTATATGATGACCGGGAATGACGTCCGAAAAATTTGTTAAAGGTCGACTCGTGTCATAAAAAGAATAACCCCCTTCGCCTCCACCACTGCGTTCACGTGAATTTTCGGACCAAGAATTTCCACCTGAATATCCTCCACCTCCACCCCCTGCAGTACAACCACCTCCGCCTCCACCGAATCCACCAGCACCTTTTCCGTCAGTCGAATTGTAACAAGCTTTTCCTCCTAGACCACCTTTTGTAATTGCTTGACCCATTATATCCGTTTCTAATTGACCGTGATATATTCTCCAACCACCTCCTGCCCCTGGAGATCTAAAAATAAAAAAATTAAAAATTTAACTTGACGCCTGCGATAATTTTTATTTTGAAGTTACTCACTTCACTCCGTTCATTTCTCCTGAGTATTGTTTTCTTGTTATATTAATTCCTTGTCCGTGTTGCGTTCCTGTATCAAAAAATCTTAAGCCTAAACCACCACCACCAGCAGCAACAGCAATAGGAACCCATTGTTTATCATTGCTAATCTATTAATAAACAATAAAGATTAAATTAATTAATCAAAAAGAAAATTAAAATAAATTTTACTAGGAAGAAGTTATCTATAGAAATAATATGGGGATACATTTGGATCAATAGGAAGGATACAACAAAAGAGAGGATTAAGAGTAATGCATGTCGCCCTAGATGTTAAAGGATTGTGGTGTAATGTTACTGTTAGTACTAACCACAAACAAAGATGTTGCACCTCCACCACCCCCACCACCATCCAACACTTCCATATGTAACAAATCTTTGATTGTACTATTTTCAATTCTATTATGGATTACAACAGATTGACAAGAAGAAGGTGTATCACCATGATAATTTAAACTTTTTACGCAAGCGCTTGTTCCCTCTTGACCAACAGCCATATACAATTCTTGACCTTTACCCAGTTCCAAAATAACCCGCACCATCGCCCCACGTGATGATCCCATTCCTCCTCCTCCTTTACCACCACCAGCTCCATATAAAAGAAACCTAAATAATGAACTCATTAAATTAAAAAAAAAAACTAATCGAAAGTTAGTTTACGTATAATAGCCTGCACTTGGAACTGTCCATTTTTGAACACCTCTCAAAAGTGAATCATCATCATACATTTTTACTGCAACATCTGTATCTTGATAAGCTTCGTTACATTGTTCGTTACTAGGTCCATATCGCCCCGTTTGTCCACAAGTTGTAATTGTGTAATCTAAAAATATTTCATTGAAAGCTACATATTTATATATAAAACAGATAAAAAACAATACATGTTTTATTAACGAAATCAGGATGTGGTTCCTTGTCTATTAAATAATCAATATCTGGATTATAATAATTATACCCATTTAGTTCAATAGCTGGAATATTTAATCCAAAACATTCTGGACTTAACGATAAATCGTCAAGTGCTATATCACGTAAATAACGAAGACCAGTGCGAACATCAAATTGGAAATAATATCTATAATTAACTGTTGGTAATGTAACAACTTGTTGAACCCACGGTTCTTTAAAAGAATTAAAACTCCAAAAAATATCTCTTGTTTTATTTTCCGTTGGGCGTAACTCAATTAATTGTAAAGCTAAACCACTTTTATGTGGTCCTGATTGATGTACAGAAAATCGGATCTAAAATTTATTGATGCTTTTAATATCAATAAGATATAAATGATTTTTTTAATTACTGTGCAAGAATTGTAGTATCTCGATGATGAGTTTCCATGTACTTTTGGTGGTGGGTTGAAAATAACGCTACGTAAGGTTGCTATTCTTGCAAAAGTTCGATCATCAGTTGACATAACATGAAGATATTTGCCTTAAAATCAAAATAAATTCTCACATTAAAATCAATTGGTTATAATTATTTGTTTATGTTACCTGTAGAATTACCATATGTATGATCATCAATAGGTCCTGTTAAATTTGTACCACGTTCTCCATGATGTCTTCTCCATTGAAATGTACCATTTGAGTCCTCACTAATCCATCCACAAGAATCTTCTTCGAAAGTACAACGAGCACCAAATGGAACTTTATCACAATTCTGTTTTTCATCATCACCATGTTTACAATCTGGGGTGATATCACACACTCTTGTATTATTAATACAAATATTTGTATCATTGCATCTGTATTCTTGCCATGAACATGGAATTGTGCTCTCATTTCGAACGCATTTAAGCAATTTGATATTATCAAATGCTACTAAAGATCGTCTCAAAGTACTTTGTGGCGAGTGTACTTCTAAAATTATACTAAAGGGTTGGTTCACTTTTCCTATTGTTCTTTCAATCTTTTTCCATCTATTACAAAATAATATGTTATTATAATTACTTTAAAAAATAAAGAAAAGATATGTACCTTCCTGAATCTTCACCTGCAATCTCATTTGCAATAATTTGAGTTTTGTTTACATGGTGTAAAACGATCCTAACAATTCCATTTCGCATAGCTTCCTGGTAAATTTGTAGTTGAACATGACATCCTTCCTCACTTGGATTGAATTGTGGACTTGTTACATGTACTCTTGTATCGGATGGTAAACGAAGTAAAAGATAATGTCCTATATTAAAAGAAAATTTAAATGTATATGTTATTTAATAAATTAAGATATATAAGAATTATCAATTTGTTGAGTTTTATTAAGTAAATTAAAAAGTATATTTTAAAAAAATTATTATAACCTCAATTTTTGAACAGATTCATTTAGTGCGGCTTTATTTATCCGCTAGGTGGCGTTCTGAGTGGTATCGAAACCGCCCGCCATCTAGGTATGACTTCCGCCTTCAATCGATTAAAAGTGTTTCTTGAAATAACTAAATAACCTCATAATTTTAACGAAAATTAGTATTTTTTGAGTTATATTATTAAAGTAAGGAGAAATGGATCAAGCGGAGGACGCAGCAGAAAGTATTGTTCGATTGAAATCCGGAATTAATCTAGGGTAAGCATATTTTAGGTTATGTTACTTCACAAGGTTATAATTTATAATAAATAAATCTAAATTCTTTAAAAAATATATACATGGTTAAATAAAATCATTATGTATTACCATTAAAATGTTTTTTTAATTATTTTAAACGTTTTTTGCGTTAATATTTTTATTATTTTTTTATTAAAGTTAACACCCTCAAATTTGAGGTTAACTTTGAACTGTCATTAAACAAATTTTATATTTTATTATACTTTTTTTTAAGGAAATTAGTCTCCGATGCCGGTACAACATTTGAAATAGATTTAAGTGATGTTCAAGAAAACTTTGAATCTATGTCCACAGAAAACCCTGCCAACTTACTTAATTATTCAAATTTAGATTGTTTGGGTCTTAGTGATGAGGATACTTACAATGATGAACCATTTACACAACTTGCTAAAAAAATGGAAGATTTACTACCTGATGGTAAAATAAAAAAGCGAATTTTAAGGCAAGGAGTAGGAGAAATTGTCACTGAAAATGCTTCCATAACATGTGATTACAACGCTTTTTTTGAATACAATCCTGAACCTTTTGATTCAACATACGCGTTTCATAGATCTTTTCGGTTTCAACTAGGCGCAGGTCTTGTTCTACCTGGTTTAGAACTTGCGGTTAAATCAATGAAAATGAATGAAAAATCTCAATTTTTAATACATCCCGATTATGCGTATGGTTCTATGGGATGTTTGGATAGAATCCCTGAAAATGCCACGATTTTATTTGAAATTGAATTAAGAAATTATATAAATTTAGGTGAGGCGGAAACTGTTGAAGAAGCTGGAGAAGAAGACAGTTTTGAAAAAAATTACCAACGCGCTGAAGCTTTACATTTAAAAGGGAATGATTTCTATAAAAGAGATCTGTATCGTCAAGCTATTAAACAATATAACATGGCAATTTGTAAACTGGAACATTCCCGATTAAATGATTATGAAGATCAAAAAAAACAACAATCTTTACTATTAAAATTGTACACAAATTTAGTTGTTGTGTATACAAAGAACCAAAAGGCACGTAAAGCTTGCCAAGCAGCAAATGATTTAACATATATAGTAAAAGGAACATCTTTAAAAATTCCGGTTAAAGTTCATTATAATCATGCACGGGCTTTAATAATGTTGGATAATTTCAGTGAAGCTGAAAAAAAATTAAAACTTGCCCATCGTTTAGAACCGAATAGCAGCGAAATTGCCGCCGAATTTGTCAAATTAGAAAAGTTAAAGAAACAAAGCCTCGAACGGGAGAAATTAATTTGTAAGGCTTTAATTGGTAATTCTAAAGAAAGCGACAAACCCGTTTTAACCGAAGAATTTAAAAGTGAAATTCAGAAAACCTTGACTGCATTAGTTGATGATCCCGATTGGTTACAGTATAAATTAAATGATGGTATGTCAGAAGAAGAACATGAATATGTTCGAAATGAAGCGCTAAAAAGAAGTCTTAAATTTCGACAAGATGAAAAGCATTTTTATGTTTATAAGCCAGAGATAAATAAGTAATCTCTTTTTTTTTTCTATGTTATATAAAAGTGTATTCATTTATATTCAGTTATAAGAAATAAGAATAAATCGCTCAGTTTTTAAATGATCATTTTTTTGAAACTGATCCTAATATACCGTTTTTGCTCCTATTATGAGTTTAAGAGGTTTCTCTTCATCAGTCCTTTCCTTAAACTTGATTACAAAAACATTAGAATATAAAGGGGGAAATTAACAATATTTTTGAAAACTGAGATATTTCAGAAACCAAAAAGAAATTCAAAATTTCCGAAACCATCCACTTATATTTCAAGGGGGAAACGGTTTGACTTGTTGATTCACACTTTTGACGTTTACCCCTGCACTCACACGAATACCTCCCCAAAAATGTGCTCGTGCCACAGAAAGAGTTTTTATTTTTAATCAAAGATATCAAATAAAATAATCAAAGATTTGAAGCAACTGGATCGGTAGAGAACAAGAAAAGGTATGCTAATAAGGTAGTAGATGAACTGGCGGAGATGGAAGTAATTAGAAATTTTACCATGAAGCCAACCAGTTCTTTGCGTCAGGTTGCAGCATCCACCGGACTTTCTTACTACACAAAGTGACAAATCTGCATAAATTTAGTCCTTACAAGGTGAGATATTGCAAGAACTTAGCGAGGGCGATTACGACCGACGACTATAATTTTGCGAAACTATCATTGCGGATCTAAATTTAGTAAAAAACATTTGTTTCAGTGACGAGTACACTTTTTACTTAAAGGGACATGTACCAAACAAGCATAATGTACCATATTGGAGCGACGAAAATCCCCATATGACAAGAGAGAAACATGCCTAGAGACCTCAAAACATTCATGTTTGGGCAGGAATACTAGGTGATTCAATAGTTGGACTGTTTCATTGGACGTCTACTTGAAATTGTTGGAAAACATCATCGATTTTGTAATAACTGAAGAAGTGGAAAACCAGCTTGATGAAAAAGGTAATCAAATATTCGACGAACATCAATTGGTCTTCCAGTAGGATGCTGCTCCACCGCATCATCTCCGACTCATGCTATTAAGAGAATATATTAGTATTAACCAGGTGTTGCATTTTCTTTTTACTTCGAATTCTAGCGTCACAGAATAATGCATATTCTGAGACTGTATTGAATATTCTCAACAGATACCTCTTCTGTTGCCAAAATGAGGGAAGACTTGTAGGTAGCTTCTTTGTCTTTGAGGTAGGAAAAGGTGACGCCGAATGGCTTAAATATCTCCTGCTTTTATGAGCAGGTTAAAACATCCCGAACAAGAGGTAGAAGAAGTTATAGAGGAAGGGTTTAATCCAAGGTTTGTAGATTCATTTACGAAAGCAGTTCCATTTTCAGCTCCACCAGTGGTAAAACTACAATTTACATACATAAGGGTAATTTTCATATCACAACTGTCCTGTTAAACTGAACCATTAATCGCAAGGAACTTCCAATGGAATCATGAAGAATGTATGAAAATGAGAATAACCTTTAATAGAGTCAAAAACTCGTTACATTAATTATTTAAGTATAAAAAGAGTAATCATAAAAAAAGACATATGGAGGAAATCTTGTGAGGAAGCTATCTTTCTGTGTACTATGTCTTGGTGTTATCTTGGACAAAGGATTAACTTGGAAATCACACATTAGTTACAAAACTAAAATAGCAACGATTGTACTGACCCAGTGGCGAAGGGCTATTGGGAATACTTGGGGACAAAAATCCAAAAGTTACAATGTGGATCTACACTTCTGTGATATGACCGATGGTAGCTCACGGAGCCTCATGGAGTGAGGCCGTTCGTAAACAACCCCTCTTTAAAGCTGGCACAGACTACATCACAGCTACTTTCTTAGGCAAGCCACACTTTCGCATTGAAACGATACCCCAGAGCAACCGAAGCAAAAAAAAAGAAGAAATGGATCAAAGAAGGCTCGATGCTCCGGAGCGGGAATTGCGACTGCTCAAGCCGAAATAACTGCTATAAACATAGCAACAAATGCGATAATCGACTCCAAAAAAATCGGCAGAAACGTAATCTGCACTGATAGCAGACAAACTATGCTGGCGGTTGGTAGACATCAAACTACATCATCGTTGGTGAAGTCCTGTCGACTTGAGGAGGCAAACGTATACAACAACGTCACGATAATGTGGCGAAAAGGACACATCGGAATTAAATTATGCGGACAGGTAGGCGAAACGGGCGGCTAACAAGTCACCGATCTCCCCTGAACCGTTTGTACTACTGTTAATATATGATCAAAGCTAATAAACTCCATCTCCCAGCGAGCTTTTTGCGATAGATGGGATGAGACAGCAGTAGGTAGGTGTCTTTGCAAAGAAAACTCTGTTCTACCCTGACCGGAAAAGATCTACTCAGTTTCTAGGAGAACCAAAAACTGACTTGAGGCTTCTCACCCACTTCCTGACCGGACACTGCAGGTTTCGTAAGCACATGTTCTACATAAAGCTGGCGAATACATCCCTCTATAGAGGGTGTGAAAGGGAAGACGGGACGGTAAGTCATATTTTTTGTGACTGTCCCAACCTCGCGTACTTAAGGGAATCCACTTTTGGAGTACCATGGCTCCAAATTTCGGATATAAGGAACATACCTTTCTGTTCTATATAACGTTCATGAAAAGATTGGGCTGGTTTTCTAACCCTTGAATGAACAGTAATTGTGGGGATGTACAAAGGGCCCGCTGGGGCCTAAGTGCTGTGAAGAAACTCACCCCCACAATAGCAACAACAGATCTTATCACACCTGCTCTTTTACGATGAGGCTTGGAAGGTTTTATACAGTATCTGGCGGGAATTTGTTTAGGGTTGTTAGGATGTTATGGTTAACATCTTGTATGATCCTCTACCTCTTAAGAGACTATGTGATCGCTACATTAGTGAGGATTTAGATTATGAATAATCCAACTTGGTATTTGTAGGTATTGACAGAGCATAATGCTGACACAGGATGGCTAACTTAGATTTATACATCTATAATTAACGGCTTCTAGACCCCTTTTGAGGTCAAGTACAATTTTGATAAACTACCATCGATTCGGCAAGGCTGAATTTTTAATACTTAAATTAGTCATCATTGCCAAAGGCCAGTTAAACATAGCCAATGAACAAAACACACGGATAGTAAACACTTCGAAAACTCTTCCAGGAGTATTCATATCTTGTAGCATTCCCATTAGACCGAAACTCAGAATCTATTAACGAATTTCCAAAGCTTTAAAAGGTAATCCCTTACGTCGCGTCGTAGAATGCGTGTGCAACTTGTTGACGTTAATCAATATCATTTAATAGTTACGAAAATCCTAAGGATGAAACAGCTGGTTGAGAATAATGTTCATAACAGATATATTCAACACAATACGCTGATTGCATAAAAATATCTGAACCCTTTTTAACACCATCGACTTGTTTTGATTCATCATGTTTAATAAAACAGATTTGTATACAAAGTTGTTGAAGAACATAACATTATTTTTGAATTGATTTTATGTGTTTTAGCTTAATCTAAAATACAATTTTAAAATCTTTTTATAACTCAAAAGATAAGTTATTGAATAACCAACGTGAATATTTTATTATACACACAACCTATAGTATCTGAGGCGTTCATTCCATTAGCGGCAATTACATCAAGACATGGAGTGTTATGTTCAGTCGTCTGAATGCGGATATGGTCCATTTCCGTAATATTAAGTTAATGTTCAACGTCTACTGCATAATTTAAAGTGACTCCTATGAATAACAACTTAATCGAACGGTTTTGAAAATATGTTATTTGTTAGAGTAAAACTATTTTGATACTTACCGTCAACGTTATTGTCAGCGTCCATCAATGGTCCAGTTTCATTATTAAGAAGATTTCCGGACGAAGCGACCACAAATACATTTGCAATGTCTGACGTCCACGACCAACGACAGTCAATTTCGAAATTACACTCGGTTCCCAAGTGAACATTCTGCGTCCTCAACGGATTGGTCAGTTCGATCAATTTTCTTAAATTTTTATTATCAGGCCTTGTCTTTAAAATACCCACAGGAGGATATGGTCTTGATATCGCGTTATCCGTATCGTTTTTCTTTCCCAACATTTTATCGGCGAGCAACCGTTTGCGTACATTCGCGAAATGATCAGGTTTCTGGGCGGCTCTTTTTTGTAATATATGGTAATATGACAATTTCCTTAGCGTTTGTGTATGTTCGATTTGTTTCGTTACATTTAATTTTTCATCTACTAAATCTTTATAACATTTCACGAATTGACCATAAATGAAACACAACACCATGAGCAAGATAATATTTTGTGGTAACGCCATAGTATGGTGGTTTTTTTTTTGAATCGTTGTTTAGTGATGAATGATTTTCCAGGGCATTTTTAAATATGCACTTCGCGCATGCGAAGATTTCTATAATTATCTAGAAAAAATAAATACTTGTTATTTATGGAGTTTTACATTTTTAGACTTTTATTCCATAAAAACTAATTATCACTTGTAACTCATAAATTTAATCATGGACTGATTAAAAATGAATATATTTTAATAATTTAATGTTCTTAAAACCTGTACCATAACATTCAAATCAAGATTTAATACAGCTGTAAATTACACACACTTAATTTATTTTAGAGTATGATTTATTTATAGTATCGAATATAGGCATAACATTTCCGTTAGAAGTTAAACCAATATCATATTTTATTGCTATAATGAGAAACTTATTATTCTCATTCATTTGGCTTATCCTTTCAAGTAATTTCCTCGATTACTTAATTTCCGCGGTACCTGAACGATTTAGGAAATGGGAATCTTCCAATAACTATGACCTTTTCCTCTCTTTCAAATCATACTTTATATACGAAATATTAAAAAACAAGTTTATTAGTAAACATAAGAAATTCATCATTAAATTTATCGTGGACAAACTGTTGTCATTGTGACGCGTCTTGTAAATAAAAAGATGAAAATAATAGTTTTCGCGGTTCTAAATGCGTTCATTGGATTCGTTCCAGGAACCACAGAGACGATGATGTTTCGTCGTTTTCCTCAATTCGTTCTGTTATATTTAAATTTATATAATTTTCTTGAAGGATCATCGAAACCTTTCGCCCTTTTACCTACATCTTTTTTTTTCAATCTACACCCATCTCAACACCTACACTACTCACCTTAAAATTGTCCGGGCGCACTTAAATTGATTAAAAATTCACATCGTCAACGCGAAATCGTCATTGTCCGCCGTTTTAATGGTCAAACTGCGAGATGTATCAACATGTTCTATACCACACTTTAGAAAAGCTCGCCCGGGGTAGCTTTTCACCAGAAAGATTCAACCCCGTACAAGAACGTCACTGCGGGAACATCAACCAAGGAAAACATTTCTTTTACAACACCTTTTAAAATTTTCACGTTAAACGTATGTTTATATTTGATAGTAAATTGTTCAATGTCTTTTACCCGAAAACCACGAAATAATATTCAGTGTGGACGTCGTCGTCTGTGCTTTAGGACGCTTTTTGGTACGGAAAAGGGATACACGTATGGGCGGCAATGTATCCTGGAAAAGGATGCCCAGTGCCTATATCGATTTTGCCGGCGTCGCGGGATGAATAGTACTCGGAGAGATAGGCGAGAGGAGTCGCTGAAACTTAGCGCCATCTAACGGGATGCTGTGTCGTCATACCGCGACGGACGTCGACGCCTCTACTTTAGACGCAGGATGTCGTCAAAAATGACCTTTAACAAAAATCAAATAAAAATCATTAGTCTTTCAAGTACTTCCAAGAACTTGTTAATTTTAATTGGTTATTTTCTCGGTATTTTTTATTCATTATAAACTTGTATTTGATATCTCTTGTTTTAGTATAATTATTTGTTGTTTAGAGAAAATAAAACTGTTTCAAAAAAAGTCCCAAAAACAACACAAAAAATATTCAGTCTTCAAAAATATTTGAAATCTGAATATTTCACCAGTGTTGTTACTGAGAAGTTCTGAACGTGAGAACAAATCTGACATTTTCGTTACTATGTTGGATTTTCTTAAGACACTGTCGTTGAAAAAACTTGTAACTTTACAGGAATGCCTCAAACTGGTTTGCAATAAAGACTACAATGTGGCATAATCACTACAATGTTCTTTCTGAAGAAGGCTAAAACATGAAAACCAATCTGACTGATGTTTTCGTTACTATGTTGGATATTTCTTTAGAAATACTGCAAAATCGCGGCAATGCTCTTTCTGAAAAACTTAGAAACATGAAAAGGAATGTACCTGACATTTCCTTCACCATATCGCATTTTCCTTTAGAAATACTTCGATAATGTCGCTGAAGAACCTTGTAACTTAGTAGAAATACTTCAAACTTCATTTCCATAAAAACTGCAATGTGGCAAAATTACAACAAGATTCTTCCTGAAGAAAGTAGAACCATAAAAACTAATCTGACTGACATTTTCGTTACTATATTGCTTTTTTCTTTAGAAATACTTCAAATTTGTTTCCAATGAGGATTACAATCAACTCAGAAACACGAAAAGGAATGTAACTGATATTTTTTTCACTAAATCGCATTTTTCTTTAGAAATACTTCGATAATGTCGCTTAAGAACCTTGTAACTTAGTAGAAATACCTCAAACTTCATTCCCATAAAGACTGCAATATGACTTAATTACTACAAGATCCTTTCTGAAGAAACATGAATTAATCTGACTGACATTTTCGTTACTATGTACATTTTTCTTTAGACATACATCGGCAATGTAGTTTTCAACTTGTAACTTAATAGAAACCTTTAAAAACTAATTTTCAATTAAGACTTTAGTATGGCAAAATCACCACAATGTTGTTTCTGAAGAAAGAAATATAGAAAGTAATACAACTGACATTTCAGTTGCATTATTTTTTAGAAACACTTCCAATCTGGTTCTGAAGAAAATTGTGGTAGGACAGACTCACTACAACATTATTTCTGAAGAATACTGAAACATTGAAACTAATCTAACTAATACTTGGATTATAATAGTACAAATACTTTGATAATGTCGTTCGAAAAAGTTGTAACTAAGTAGATACAATTCAGACTTGCTTCCAAAGAAGACGATAAAATAGCAGAATCAATACTATGTCATAAATACTTTAGTCATACTTGCAAAGAAGACGATAATATGGCTGAATCAATACAATCATTTCTGAAGACTTACTTAATTTGTATTAACTTGTTTCATATCCGACTACGACACCAAATCAAACTGTTTTAACTGCCATTTCGTGAATTCGGGTTTCAAATCTCCAGATTAGTTAAGTAATTGGTCATTCTCAGTGTATTGTTCTTAACAAGTTGAAATTAGGGATGATTCAGGAGAATGGGGTTATTATAAGAATATAGGAATACAATTTTTCCTCCTATTCTAAACTAGGTAAACTATTCTTTCTAAACCAGCTGTTTAGACACCTCCTATTTAATGAAATATCTATTAAAATTAAATGTATATTGTTTAAGATGAGTTCCAGAACTAAACGTTATTTTTAAAATACTGTATTAATAGATTTTTACAAATACCAAGAATTCTAAACAAACCGACATTGTCATAACATACATATTTTTTCATATACATAATCATTTTAAGATTTTTATGATTACTTTATTACTTTTTTATTTCTTTATTTTTCAGTTACTTAAAATTAAAAATAAGATTTTAATAAATTTATATTTTTCAGTGACATTGTTAAACTTGATTGAATCCTGCCATCTATTTATCACATATTACACTAAAACCAGTCGGTATAGTAGGTGAAACGCACGGATAAACAATGATCACTCAATAAAATAAGACTTTAACACAAAAAAAAAGAAGAAATGATACAAATTGCGATAGTTAGAAAAGGAGAATCAATTTTATCAGGCACGAATACATTATTGTAACTATCATTGATTGTTAAGTGTCTTATCGGAAATCGAGATAAGGTTATGTTACGGTAGGTTATTGCAGTTTGCAAACGAGACTTGTGCATTTAATATATTGATCGCTTTGACTACTTATTATTTAGAAAATGCCACCTGTTCGTGGAAGATTTGGGCCATTAGTTGGATCAATTGATGAAGGAACTTCGAGTACACGATTTTTGGTATGTTTAAATAACTCTGTTTAAGTTTTATATCTGATAAACGTAAATACATTACATATTACGTTTTGTTTTAAATCAAAACATGTTTATCAAATCTTTATTGAGTTCATAAATTAAAATAAACACAAAATACTATATTAAAATAATAATAAATAAACTATTTTATTTGTAGGTATTTGCTGCTAAAACTGCCGAAGTATTAACCTACCACCAAGTTTCAATTCCACAAATTACCGTCAAAGAAGGATGGGTGGAACAAGACCCAGAATTGATTTTACATTCAGTTATCGAAACGATCAATGTAACATGTGATAATTTGATGAAATTAGATATTAGTCCTGAAGATATTGTAGCTACAGGAATAACAAATCAACGTGAAACCACTGTTTTATGGGACTCAAAAAGTGGGAAACCACTTTATAATGCTTTAGGTAAATAGCTTTATTTTAACCTTGGTTTCTTTTTTATTTGTCTATTATGTAAGTGTTTGTTTTGTAATAGATGATGTTTTATAGCATAATAAATTTAATCTATATAACTTTGTTTTTAATTTATATCTAAAATTTTGTATTTTTATTTGATATAATTATTTTTTTTTAGTATGGCTTGATATGAGAACTGCTTCCACTGTTGATAAAATTCTTCTTAATGGAAAAAGAAACAAAAATTTTCTTAAAAATGTCTGTGGATTACCAGTGAGCACTTATTTTAGTGCATTAAAAATATGTTGGCTTGTTGATAATGTGGAAGAAGTAAGATTAGCTATTAAAGAAAATAGATGTTTATTTGGTACAATAGATTCTTGGTTAATATGGGTGGGTTTTTATCTTAATTAAACTTTATTTTTTTGTAATTCTTAATTTTTAAAAGAATTTAACTGGCGGTGTAAATGGAGGTTTACACATCACCGATGTTACAAACGCTTCTCGGACAATGTTAATGAATATACAAACATTAAAATGGGACCCACAATTATGTAAAATATTTGACATTCCAATGAGCATACTTCCTGAGATAAAGAGTTCTTCAGAAATATATGGTTATCTAACTCAATCATTTTTAAAGGGCATTCCAATATCTGGAGTAAGTAATTGAAAACAAAAACATCAATCACAAAGTTATTTCATCTGAACAAAAAATATAACTTTGATAAGATAAAATCTAGTTTTAAAAGGTGTGTCCATCAATTTTATTGTTTTTTTTTTTGTTATCATAACCTATGTTGGAATTAATCTTAGATAAGATCAAAAATTTTTAATCAAGTTCCAAAGATTACCTCATTGAGACTGTTCTATATTAAGTTACCAATTACTCATGTTTATACACATTGAAATTAGAATGAGCCAGGTGTACAAAGTTTGGCATAACTTTATGTTTTAAGAATTTTAAAGGTCAATGAGAAATATGTGGATCATAGTTTAATTATTTATTTTAAAATGATATAAATAATGACAATAAAAACTTTTTATATTTCTTTCTTTAATTTTTAGTGTTTGGGTGATCAACAAGCAGCTTTGGTTGGGCAAATGTGCTTTCACCAAGGACAGGCTAAAAGTACTTATGGAACGGGTTGTTTTCTTTTATATAATACAGGAACAGCAGTAAGCTTAAAATTTAATAAATTTAAGCAATTTTTTTTTATTTAACCTTCCATTACATGCGCTTATACAATGGAAAGACCGTTTTTCAAAAAATCGTTAGATTATGTAAAAATGGAAGGATTAGTAACATTTTCAGATCCTAAAATTGTTTAATTTTTGCAATAATTAATATTAAAATTCAAAATCCCATCTATAAAAGCTCGCGTAAGATCAAGAAGACACAAACGTGTATCGTTCGGATCTCTTCTTCTAGCGCATAAGATTCTCGTGGCATCTCGCTCATGCACCTTTTATTGATTTTTATTTCAACCAACCGCGTGCGAAACGACGGTGACATCTCCAAAGTTTTTTCAAATTTTGTTTTTGGAAAAACTAGTCAAGTCCAGTTTGAAAAATAAAAAATTATAGAACTCTTCAATTAAAAACTATGGAATATTTATTACACGCGCTGGACGCAATTGCCGATAGAAACGATCGTCGGGCAAAAGATGACGTTATTTAGAAGTTATTATGACCTATTATTCGAATTTTATTATTTATTAAAACTAGAACTAACACTAGACATGGAACTAGAAACTTTTGTGCGTCTCTTAAGATGGCTAAACCCAAAAATATAGTTTGGTGGTAGATAGTAGATATACAAGGTGTTTCTAAATTGATACGAAAGATTTCACGGGGTGATTTTTCAGCAAAAATTAAAGCGTGTTTCATATAACTTTTTGTTCAAAACCCCTTCTCCTCCAAGTTATAGCCCTCTAAAGTTAAGGGAAAAAATCTGCAACTTTCTTATCTTTTGATATTTTACAACTAACAAATTGTTAATTTGATCACAAAAAATAAAATAATGCTGAGATTAATTTGACATAACATCATTTCTTTGACTAATAATAACCAATCAATAATTCACGTAAGCCTGTGTATTATTTTATTTCTTTATGATGAAACTAACAATTTTAGGAGAAAATGTCAAGAGACAAAAAAGTTGCGTATTGAATCCCTCTACAACACAAGAACACTATCACTAGGACTAACACAAGACCTAGAACTAGAATCATTCGGGTTTAGCCGTCTTTAAAGACGTGCGGCTAAATCCGAATGTTTCTAGTACTCGGTCTAGTGATAGTTCTAGTATTACACTATCACTAGAACTAACACAAGACTTAGAATTAGAATCATTCGGGTTTAGCCGTCTTGAGAGACGTGCGGTATAGTTAAATATGAAATAGAAAAGTTTTCTATAAAATAATTCTTATTGAATGTTTATCTAAAAAATCTGTTATTTCATAGATTGTGCAATCAAGTCATGGTTTATTGACGACAGTTGGATATCAATTAGGTCGTGATGAACCACCTGTTTATGCTTTAGAAGGATCAATCGCAATTGCAGGTTATTTATAGTAAAATATGATTATTTAATTAACTTATTAAGTTAAATTCATAACTTAAGTATTTAATTATTTTTTTTAAATAAAGGTGTTGCAATGCAATGGATAAGAGATAACTTAGGAGTAATTGGAAATGTATCAGAATCAACGAAAATTGCCCAATCTGTTGGAGAAGTAGGTGAAGTTTACTTTGTACCAGCTTTTTCAGGCTTATACGCTCCATATTGGAGAAAAGACGCTCGGGGGTATCAAAATCTGTTTTAAATAATTATTTAATTTTACTATAAACATTTTTTTAGTGTAATATGTGGCCTAACCGAGGAAACAAAACCGGGTCATATCGTAAGAGGTGCTTTGGAATCTGTGGCTTTTCAAGTTCGCGATATCCTTGAAGCTATGGCTTTAGATTGTGGATACCCACTGCAAAAATTGTTAGTAGACGGAGGAATGACAGCAAATAACTTTTTAATGCAAATTCAAGCAGATTATTGCGGAATTCCTGTTGGTAATTTGAAATCAATATGTTAATTTCAAAAAAAAATTTTTTTTGTGTCAGTACGTCCATTAATGGCAGAAACGACGTCTCTTGGAGCGGCTATTGCAGCTGGTCATGCAAAAGGGGTTGAAGTGTGGGATTTAGAAAATGTCCAAGCTGTTCCTAGCGACACCTTTGTACCAGCTATTACAGAAGATCGTACGTTAACTTTAATCATATTTATAATTAAAACTAAACTATGTAATATTTATATTTAATTTTAATTTTTAGAGAGAGATATTCGATATTCAAGGTGGAAGATGGCGATAGCTCGAGGTTTAGATTGGGTGGATGATCGAGATAATGAAGATACAGGTAAGAAATTAAAATACTATTCAAAGTACTAAAAAGAAAATGATTAATTAAAAAAAAAATATATTATTATGATCTGTGTATAATAAAACTTTCTGATGGCTGTAGGCCTACCTTCTATCTCAAAATTTGAGGATGAGTGTGGTAAGTGAAATAAGCATGGTTAGCATAGTTGCTTTAAATTAATAATTAAAATTATTTCGTGGTATATTCAAGATCTATTTGAGTTGTATTAGCATGGTTTTTTTGTAACTTTAAGATTCATATTGATTGGAATTGTTTTATTTTTGTTTTTGTGTCTTTATAAATGTATAAAAAATCAACTTTGATTTGTATTGAGTTTTCTTAGATTTGTTACTGTATCATTAGATTTAATTTAATTAACAAAGAAAGGTTGTAGCATGTATAACTTAAAGATATTTGGGTGTTTCATTTATAATAAGTATATATGTTTCAAAAATAAGGTGTTCAACGAAAAATAAACACAATAAGTTAATTTAACAAATAGAACGTTGGCAGAAGATACAAAGTATGTTTCTATTCTCAGCTGATAATGTTTTATATTTTGCCAAAACTACATAAATTTTAGAAAATCTTTGAACATACCAGAAAATCACCAAGAACTATTTGAAAATGTAGTTTGCGTGGCAGTGCTACACGTCATATGGGAGTCAGGCCATTCTGGCAGGTAGAGTGCTTTGTTTGACACAACCTAACGGTATGTTCAAACAGAGCGTGGCAGAAACACGTGGCGTTTGCAGGACACAATTCTGCCACACGCAAGTTTGGACATACCAGAAAATGTTTGAACGCCGCGCACTTACTAATAATGTACGTGAGCTTTAGGTAAATTGAGGCATGCCGCGCGCGAAGACTTCTAATCACCCTGCAATGTTTGGACACACTCTAACAGCTGGGATACATCTTTTTCCATCTACTCATTCACTTTTCTTCTTTTTTCGATCGCTTCATACAGTTTCTTGATTTTGAATATACTTTTTCACAAAGTTTTTCTTCCTTCTTTATGACGACTCTGAATCTATTATTCATCACTTGCTGTATCCATCTAGCTCTCCTACACACTAACACTAGTTAGACTGGGTGAAAAATGTAGTTTGGAAATTATTGATTTGGTGACAATTAAGCCGAATTACGTTTATGTTTTGAAAAATAAGTGATATTTGAGAACTGATGAGATTTTCGTTAAGGACTTTATTTTTGAAACAATCACTTTAGTTTATGATTTAACTTAAAATACTTAAGTACAATTATTAATGAAAACACTTGTATGAATTTGATTCTAAAATATATTTGATTTTTTATAGATCAAGATGAGAATACAAAGTTCAATACGCTATCTGCAGGTTTATTTATGGTTTCCTCTTTTGCACTTCTCGTCTTAGCGAGTTCTGTCGCAAAAAATGCTGCTGCATAGCTTTAATTTATCGGCATTTTTCTTTTATATATAAAATTTAATTTGGTGTACGGTAACAGTACTTATTATTTATAAATGGCGTCTTATTTATGTGCTATAATTTAGTAAATCAATCGAAATGCAGATTAAAGTAAAATTATAAATACGAAATGTACTTATTGTATCTATTTTTATTTTATTGTACTTATTAAATACTAATAATAACAAACATGTTTGTTTTTATAATCCTTAACATTATTTAAGTAAACAATTTATACAATTGGGAAACGATCCATTTCTTCATATTCAATTACAATCGGTTCACGAGCACAAAGAGCGTTGAAAATGTTACCTATATTATCCCAAATGTTAAATTCCAAGCGTTTATGATAAATCATCCCGCATATTGATAACAAACAAATAAGAAGTAACAATACCGTGATTGTTCCTTAAATCAATGTATATTATTATAATAGAAAAGAATTATTTTTAATAATTATTTCATACCTAAAATTACCACAGCAACCATCATCATATTAAAAAACATAAACTTTAAATTAAATTACGCATGAATTTGATATTGTGAAGTTGACTTTGACATTTCTTAACATATTAATAGTTTACTAGATTCCTGATTTTAGTTTTTTAGTAAAATTTTTTTTTTATCTTAAAACTTTAAAGTATCATGTTCCAATTTCCAAATGTTATATCTATATTCACCTCTTGATTTACATAAATCATTCATATCAAAATGAATTCTACTATAACCAAACATAAAATTAATATTCCTTAAATTATTAATACACCAACAAGATAAATTATTCCCTTTTAAATAAAAATTAGAAAAATTGTTAAATGTATTCAAATTAAATTCGAGACAAGAAACGTAATTATAACATAAATTTAAATAACCAACGTCATAAAATTGTGAAAGAAATTTGATCGGAATATGATACAACTCATTTCTTTGTAATTCAATGTAGTCTATGTACTTAATATGATTAAAAGTATTTTCATGAATCGTGGATATTTTATTATTTGTAAGAGATATCCTGTAATAATGTAACGGTTTTAAATTTTTTAAACATGTCTCATCTATTGATGTAATAGAGTTATTAGAAAAGTTTAATATGTACAATGAAAAGTTGTTTATAAACCAATTACCGTTTATAAAAGTTAATAAATTTGAGCTTAAATCAATTAATACTAAGTTAAGCATATTATCGAATGCGTTAGATTCAATAATTTCTATTTTATTATTGTTTAGCCATAAATATTTAATCGGAATATGATTAAACATGTTTTCAAAAATTTTAGGGATAACGTTTGATGTTACTTTTACTGAAACTAAATTAGGAACGTTTCGTATAAAACCAGGCATTAAATTTTTCGTCGAATTCACTATTTTCAATTTTAATAGTTCACTAAAATCCTTAAAACTTTCTGAATCGATAACTGTATAATTTTTATCGACGACGTTTATCTCGCATATTTCATCATTAAGAATTTTCGTCGCATTACTTGTAAAAATCACTTGGTTTTTATCACATAAAATCGCTTGATAGTACACCACTTGATTTTCTAGTAATTCTGTTCGATTATTTTTACTAATTTGTATCGAAAACAATATAATTATTAAAATATATAAAATCTGTGTATTATTTTGTAACATTTTCATTCAAACTAACACCACTTCAATTTCATAATTGATAACCTTTTAATCTTTTTATTTTCGTTTACTTTAGAACAACTTTTTTAAGTCTTAAAGAAAGACGAACTTGAAAATGATAAAAAACGAACACGAATAATAAAACGTAATCCTTATTTTATGTTTAGATTAAGAATAAACTTACCTGATAATGGATTGTGCTGCGGAGTTAATGATATTTCGCACAAGACTCCGTGGCGCAACGGTAGCGCGTCTGACTCCAGATCAGAAGGTTGCGTGTTCAAATCACGTCGGGGTCAATTATTGCTTTTTTTTGTGATTTTAAAAAATTAGTTAATGTTTTTAGTTTATATATGTTTATACGTTTATTTAAGCTATATCTTATTTGAATCTGCATTTATTTAAAATTGCTAACGCTATCAATTGCATTTTCTCTTCAATTTTTGGACGTTTTGTTGGCTACACAGCAGTGAAAAACCTCTGCATTGTATGTATTTTGCACATACCATGGGACATTCATTATGTTTCGCAACACTTTATTCTGGAATATTTGAATACCCTTGATTTTCGTGTTACCAGCGCAGCCCCAGATGCTGTACTTTGGAATTCCTCCTAACCAGCCAATGGAGCTATCTGTAGTTTATTGCTTATAGTGCTCTTTTCTTGTTTACATGGTCTTCCCACCTAAATTTGGTGTCCAGAATCATGCCTAGATACTGGGCATTGTTCTCACAATGGTACCATGTAGTGATGGAACGGATAGTTTTCAAACGGGGTTTTGCATTAAAAAGAGGATACTTTAATTAATAATTGGTGATATTCCCACAAGGATTCTTCAAGACATTAATTTTATAGCAAATTTTGAAAATTATCAATGAAAATTGCAACAACGAAAATTTTATCATACCATCAAATATTGTTTTCTCAAAAACTAAAAGTTATTTTTCAAAACGGGTTGGTTCATTGGAAAGAAGACACTTTTATTAACACTTTGGGAAATTTCCATACTTATATTCCAAGAAATGGATTTTATACGAATTTTTAAAACTTAACCGGCGAAAATTGCAAAATTTGAAAAAATTGTAGATTATTTCAAAAATTTATTTCTCAAATTTATTTTTCAAAACGGCTTTTTGCCGGATATCCGTTCCACCACTAGTACCATGTATATCTAGAGACGCTGTATCTTTTTGCTGTTTATTTCTAAGATTGATATGGATGAATTTCATCTCGTTTAACTTTATCCTCCATTTTTATTGCATTGTTGGTTGCTTGTAGATTCCCAAATCTTTCTCTACGCAAGTAGTCCTGTATTATCTGCAAACGTAGTTACCCTCAACTCTGGTATGTCACTAGTATATAGGATTTATCTTTTTTAAGTCTGAGTCTTCATCTTCTTGTTTAACTGTCTAGGAGTCTGTCTCTAAGTATTGTTTTGGGGGCATTTTGTTTAGTTGGGTTGCGTTGAAGAGGTCGATTAGTACGACTATACCATTTTTAGGCTGGTACTTTAGAATTTCTCGAGTAACTGGTGTGATATTTCTGCTCTTTGATTCACAATATTGCTCATTTCTTGACTGTTTTGGCCTGAGTTGGGATCTCAGCCATATATTAAGCATACCGCGTTGATTGGGCGAAAGGAGGGCCTCAACTAAAAAGAGGAGCCCTAGCCTGGTACACCGATGCTTCAAAGACAGTAAGATCTGGAGTAGGCATGGGCATTAGTGGACCAAATAGCCACATCAAATTGCCCCTCAGCTCGGACTTAACAATTTTCCAAGCAGAAGTTCTTGCTATAAACTTCTGCACCGTTTTGAACCTACAGAAGGGACAAAAAGGTGCATCCATAAACATTTTCACAGACAGTCGGGCCGCCTTAAAGGCAATTCAGGCCTACACGTGTGGCTCCGCACTGATCAGAGAGTGCACCAACAACCTGAGAGAACTCGCTAGGGGCAATGATGTTACCCTATGGTGGGTTCCAGGTCACAGCAACATTGAGGGCAATGAGAAGGCCGACAAGCTGGCCAAAGAGGCAGCAAACACGCCCTTCATTGGACCCCAACCTGGATGTGGACTACAAAAAAGCCACCTAAAACAAATAATCAACAACTGGGAGGCTTCAAAGATAGCCTTACGCTGGAAAGAACTTCCAGGTCACAGACAAGCGAAGAGTATGATAACTCCGTCGCAAAACAAAACCAAAGAGGTTTTATGCCTCAGCAAAGGGGATCTAAGAACGCTCTCAGGCTACCTAACCGGCCATGTGCCCCTAAAATACCACCTCTTCCACATTGGACAAGCTGAGGATCAAACTTGTCGACTATGCAACGACGAGTCAGAAACTGCTGAACATATACTGTGCAATTGCGTCGCCAGAGGACGTCTAAGGCACAACGTCTTCGGTAAAACTCCCCTGTTACCTACCGACATAAAGGTTCAAGACCTCAGGACAATACTAAGGTTCATTAAGGACCTACATTTGCCCTAAACCTTTGGAGGGCTAAAGTTACAATAGATCTTATAGGTCGCGGTAACGAGAGGGGCCGCCCTCCTCAGCCCGGCAGCAATAATAATAATAATAAAGCATACCGCGTTACTTTTTACTTATTGTCTCTAGCTCGTGGTCCATTGTTGCTATTAATAGCAACAATTCTTTCTTCTTCGTCTTTTCTTTCTGAGTTTCTGGGTCTTGTTGTTAAGTATAGTTTTTTGTATAAGGGATACCTCGATTGCTGCCATTTTCTTCTACCACTTCGCTTTTTTGACAACTTCTCTGAATACTAGTACATTTAGGTTACTTGTATTGTTCCTTAATGTTGTTGTATGCCACTGATTCGATAAGACAGGTGAAATGTTCAGCTTCTCTTTCTAGTTCTTCATTAATTCTAAGACTAACGTTTAGGTTGATTTTGTTCTTGTATTGTGTTGCTAAGAGTATTAGTATGACGGCAGAGTAATCGGAGTTTATGTCAATGTTCACTTCAACTTCTATGAGGTTGGAAGGTACATTCCTGCTAATAAAGAAGTCTATCAGTCGGAAATTTTCCCTTTAGGAGTAATAAAAAAGATAATGAGTTCCATAACAATATCAAAAGAAAGAAGCTTCTAGAACCATTTTTGCTAATTTAAAACAGCTTAGTATTTCAAATTATTATTTTATTAAAAATTGTTTTTCTCTCGAAATTCTTGATATGTGACGAATCAGATTTTAAAGTTTCATAGTTTCATATTAATCAATAACTTCCTTGAATAAAAGGTCGTTATAATCCATTTACGCATTTGATAATTGGAAAAGGTATTATTCTCGAATCTTTGTTTTGAAACAAAGCGGTTATTAAAAGTAGTAAACAGGCCAAGTTTTGTATTTAAAATGAATAATTTTCGTTCATAGTTTCCATTTTCCTGTTAATATTCGTTTAAAGCAATGAGTCCCTTACTTGTGATTTTAACCGTTTTGGTTATTTTTTTAGGAAACGCAAGAACTATTGACGTTATTAAATATAACGAAAACTTAAAATCTGACTGCAAAGGTAACTAAAATATAACATACTCTATATTAGTTTCTTATTAATTCTATTTTTAGTTACAAATGTTTTTCTTACATACGTAAGCGAAATTATAGCTGTTTCTTGGGGACCTGTGAGCAATGATTGTTCATTAAAGCCAACATATAAAGTTCAGTACTTCGTAGATGAAAATTTAACTGATGTTAGTGATAGTGTTTCAGTGGGAATGCCCATGGCTATATTACCCGTTGGAAAATTAAAGTGTGAGGACGTTTCTATTAAAATATTGGTCTTAGAAAATGATACGCTACTTGCGGTATCGAATGAATATGATTTAGAAAGAGGTAATTTTTTAGACCGTTTACATTTTTGTAAGGTCCCAAAAATTATATGTTCTCCTGTAGATTTAAACAACATAACTGGATTATCAGCCGAGCGAACTTCAAAGGGAATAGAAATAACCTGGAATCCGTTAAATTTGGGTAGATTTTGTAAAGTAACATATTCGCTCCGATATAAAGTTGGTTCAAACAAGGAAGAAGTTATTAACGATTTAGATAGTTCTCGCTTTGTGTTGCCACTAACTCAAGATAATCCTTGTATCCCATATATCATAAAAGTTGAAGCATTTAGTAATGAGATGAAATCTCCAGAAGCAGAGATCAACTATGAAATTGGTATCCATAAAAAATTAAATTTCCTTAAATTATTTTAATTATTAAACATTTTAGGAATACCATCTGTTAGAGATGTAACTTTAGAAAATCGCGAAGGAAAAGTGGTCGTAGACTTCAAACCTCCAACAAATATTCCAAACGAATGCGGAGAAGTTGATTATCAAGTTGTCCAAAAAGATGGTGATTGTTACGTAAGCGATTTTGTTATACTACCCGTATCTAGTACCGGTTATGAAGGTTTCGCAACCAACAAAACAATTGTTAGACAACCAGGAGCTGTACAAAGTCTAGAAGTTGCACCAAAAGATAAAAACGTTTATTTAAGTTGGAAAGCTCCTATCGGCGGAATCGGTTGCGATTTGCAATATTTTATTAAATTTAATCAAAAAACAGTCCGAGTACACACAACGCATTTTTTCGCACCAATACAATTGGAAACTTGTAAATTCGAAGTTGTTCAAGTCATTCCTGCTGTCGCTGATGGTAAAAACTACATTGACGGATTAAGCTCAGAACTTGAATTAGTTGGCGGTAAATTATCTGTATTTTGTGATGATTCCTCTTTTTCATTTCTTTTTTTTATTTTATAAGATGTTGGACCAGTAGATGACGTAAATTGTACAATAAAATCAAAATTTGTGGATTGTTGGTGGAATAAACCGCAAAATACCGAATTATGCAAAAAAATAGATTACGCAATTACGTACTTTGATGGAGTTGATACGAAAACCCAAAAAATCGAAGAACCATATTTTAGTTTTCGAACTCTCCTCAATACTTGTAACTTTTGGTTCAACATTCAACCAATTGCTTATGCTGCGAATAGAGTACGGGAAGGAGAAGTTATGGAAACTATAATAGACGGTTGCGATGATGATTTATATAATAAATTCGACATTTAATTCGATTACCAACATATAAGTTGTAAAAATATAATTATATTACAATAAACTTGAACACATTTTAATTCTATTGTGAATTATAACCTGAATTGCAAATGCAAGCAAGTAATTTCCTAAGTAAGCATCTTCCTTCCTAAATTATGCTAATACAATTCGAGTACGTATGTAGTTCGGTCACATGTGACGATGTAGATTAGATCTGTGTATCCTGTTCTCTATTTGCAACTACTATATATTCTCTCACTGGTCTCTATTGTTCAATATCCTGTTTAATATATTAATTAAAGGATTAATTTGTTAATTAAAAGCTTAATTAACTAATTAAAAATTTAATTTGATTTGTTTCAAATATCCTTATATTCTTGGAATCTCATCTTTCTTTGAAACCATCTTCAGTATAATTTCAAAGAATTCCTGACCAGTTTCCTGTTATGGGAAGTGATTATGAACGGTTCAATTTGTCCTCATACTTTTCTTGTAAAATGCAATAATTGTTTTTAGTTTCACAACCCGCGTTATTTACCCACATGTTTCACTTCGCTCGAATCCACCATTTTCCCCTCCCTGGTGTCTTATTGTTGTGAGCATTTTTGTCTATCGATTATTATCTCCGGATTCGAATTTCCCACTCAACGGTTATCGACTCTCCAATCTTTATAAAGAAATCAAATCTTTTTTGCATCGTTGGTGTCCATACGGATAGTGTGTTAACATGGATTTACCATCAAGTTTTATAGCGAACTTTATTTGCCCCATCTTATTTATATTGGAAGCTATGGATTAGATGAGATACTGAGATAGAATGCTAGATACTGGTTACACGAGACTGCTTAATATCTATTTTATTTTGCTTTGAGAATCAGAAATTGTTCTTCCAGACCGGGCATTGATGATGGAAAACTAGTTACTACTTGAAGGGTCTACTTATTACATGCAGAGTATGTTATATAGCTAATGGAATACTATACATTACTTCCAGAAGACTGGATACTTCTGATAGACAAGATATTGCTTTTACAAGTTTAGTTACAGCTTGCAGAAAACTTGATATTGCTAAATATTATTTCCAGAAGACGAAATACTGAGATAGAATACTAGATACTGGTTACAGGAGATTACTTGCTGCTTAATATCTATTTTATTTTGCTTTCAGAGTCGAAAACTGTTCTTCCAGGTGGAGCATTGTTGATGGAAGGGTAGTTACTAGTTGCACGCGGCTACTAACTACTTGCAGAATATGTGATATAGCTAGTAGAATACTTTATTCCAGGAAACTGGATATTTCTGATAGACAACAAGATACTGCTAGTACAAGTCCACTTACAGCTTGTAGAAGACTTGATATTACTAATGAAATGCTAATACTATTTCCAGAATATCTTATATTGTTGATAGAATACTAGATACTGGTTAGACAACCTTTTATTATTTAAAAAAAATTGATATAATTCGTATTTGCTAGAAAGTAAAAAATCATTACATGACCAATTTATGAAATAAGGATTATAGTATATATTTTTTAATGAATTACGATTTTGCATATTAAATAATACCCAATTTAACAAACATAGACGCAAAGCAAATCAGTGACGGTAATCGGATTAAAGGTTCTGGCTGCAATCGGAATTAAGTTGCATCGCATAAAGGCGGAACATGTTAAAGTGAAATACGGGTAATACCTACTACATAGGTTATTAATATGAAAATAACCTGTCTACTAAGCTTTGCCATTGGAAATGATGAGATGAATTATGTAATATAGGAACTACTCAACACCGATTGAAAAATATATTGTATAATTGAGTACATTTGCGATTTGAACTTGAAAGCTAAAATTTGTGGATTCACCTTTCTCTGCGATTAGAATTTCAAAGTAATAAGCATGCATAATAAGAATTAAAAAATGGTTTCGTAGAAAGGTTAAACGTGTACTTGCTTGATGTCATTTGAACAACTAATTTCGTACGAGTGGAAAAGCTGGATGGCGCTAATTTAGTAGTACGGAGTTGCAATCAAGCTATTTGCTGTAGTAGCCATTTCACTCGTTAATTTATTTACGTACTAACAGAAACTACTCGTATTTGACGTGAGGATATACTCGGCTGCCGTTTTTTTAATCCACACTTTTCAACTAGAATCCTTAATAGAACTGAATGTGCAACTTTTTATGTCTTTATGTTTCATTCATTACATTAAATAATTCCGTAATAATTTAATTCAATTAATATTTTAGATAATCAAGACAACTCAATACTATCCATAATAAAAAACGCTATAATTTTCAATAGGAAGACACCGTTATATGAACCTATAACTACTGGATGTATCGCAATAAGTATAGATAGGTATTTTTATTGAGCAGTAAAGAAAAATTTATGGCAGTTTAGCAAATAAAATACACCCGTAAATGATATTTACGCTGGAAACATCGTAAAGCATAGGGCAATAGAAAACAACTATTTATAATATACTACATTGAAAATTGACTACAATTTCGAATTGACTGATTTTGATTAAAATAATTGTTACGTACGGTAAACATTTTAATATTTTCATTATTTATGCATTTCAATAATGCATGGAGAGTGTTGAGTTTATAATATCCAATCAGAAAGGTAATCAATGCTTCGTAACTCGAGGCCGTTTAATTATTTACTAATTTCCTGTAGTTGAAAGCATGAGATCCCTTCAGGCTATTCAATAGCTTTTTCGAGAGTAGGAGCGGCTAATCGAATAAGTTGGCTTAGGGGCTTCAATTTTAAGAGATACTTTACTTCAAACTTATCAGCTATGAAAAATTTTCACACTTAAATCTGAAAAGAAATTTTTCCTAGTCATATTTCAAGTATTAAAATGGAAATTTTCGGTAAATGTATCCGTACAATAAATTGCAAGTTGCGTTGGGTGGGGTTGCTCTCATTTACATCTCTTTGAAAACGAAATTCCGGTGCTGGCGGTGACATTTTCATCCCATCATGTGCGATGTACCCTGTAGTTGTACCAAACGACCTCAAAAACCTATCAAAATGTGACATTTGAAATTCTCGCACGTAACTCATTATTTATTTCGACTTTTTGATATAAATGATTTCACCGTTGTATGTATTATAATAACAATACTAATATATTCGGGGAGAATGAAATAGAATGAAATTTAAAATTATTAAACCCAAGGTACAGATGTCGTTATAATGTTCCTTATGCTCTTGGATATTAGTGCCCGAATGTGGCAGCATATGTTGCGAAATGAGAACCGGCTACAACTTCTCTAAATTAAATTCATTTTCTTCGGTAGTAATAACGTCTCGAAGTAACGACAAATGTTTTCAACGTATGCTTTTATTAACTTTTCAGAATAGTTAAATCATTATACTTTTAAAAAATAATTTTTAATTTTCTTTCAAATATATTGGAATTGAATAATAAAGCTATTGAAATTGAAGAAGTTGAAATTGTGGATGATTTCCCCCCTTCTAGTGACGCTGCTCTTGATATATTATATGACATGAATATCAGTGATAATAACTCTAGGTTTAAGTTTAGTGTCGTTGAGCCACTCGTGGTACTTAATGTTATTAAATCGATGAAATCTGCTTCAACAGGAACTGATAAAATTAGTCCTGAGATGGTAAAACTTTGTTGTCCCCATATAGTACCTTTTATTACACATATTATAAATTCCTGCATTCTGGAAAGTGTATTTCCTGATTGCTGGAAGGAAGCCTTAATTAAGCCTATACCTAAATGTAGTGACCCAAAAGCTTTGATGGACCTGAGACCCATTAGTATTCTGCCAATGTTATCAAAGGTTCTTGAAAGAGTACTGAAAGTTCAATTAACGGAATTTATTACGGATACTGACTCTCTATCATCTACTCAGTCTGGGTTTCTTCGAGGGTATGATTGTTGCTCTGCGATGCTGAAGGTGACAGATGACATTATCTCTGCGACTGATAAGGGTGAAGTTACCGTTCTTACCTTGTTAGACTATAGTAAAGCGTTTGATACTGTGAATCATGCGGTCCTTTTTAGGATTCTTCACTCTGTTGGGCTTGATCCTTCGGCGGTTGCTCTGCTTGGCAGTTATCTTGGACGGAGATCACAGTGTGTTCGGATTGAGGGCATAACATCTTCTTCTCGACCAATTGATTTTGGGGTTCCTCAGGGCTCAATTCTTGGTCCCACGTTGTTTTCGATATATACTTCAAAAATCTTTCATAATGTGAAACACAATCAAGTTCACAGTTATGCCGATGATACCCAGCTTTATGTTTCTTTTGGTCCATCCCAATGGCGCAATGCTATTAATAATTTAAATTCTGACTTGGAATATATAACGAATGTTTCCAATTTGCATTGTCTGAAAATTAATCCTAATAAATCAGCCGTTTTGCTCTTTGGTAACAAAAGCGTTTGCGACCAGTTAAAGGGTTTGGTTAAAGTTCACATTTAGGGATCTGAAGTGCCGATTGTGAGTGAGGCAAGGAGTCTTGGTTTGATTGTAGATAACAGTTTTAGATACCATAGTCAAGTTAATAACTACATCAAGAAAGCGTATCACTCGTTAAGGCTACTATATCCCCATAGAAGCTATTTGCCTATCATGTTGAAAAAAACTTTATGTGACTCCTTGGTTCTTTCTCAGTTTAACTATATGATTCCCTTATATCATCCGGCTGTGTGCTCATATGACTCGGGGAGGATTCAGAGAGTTCAGAATAGCTGTCTTCGTTTTATTTATGGAATCCGGAAGTTCGATCACATTTCCCACTGGCTTATTGAATCAGGCTGGTTGTCGATGCGCTCAAGAAGAGAACTTCATACTCTAACTTATTATCATAAATTGATTACTACTAAAACCCCTATATATTTGAACAATAAGATTTTTTTCAGGTGCGATATTCACAATCGTGAAACTAGATTTAGGTGCTGCATAGACCCGCCTCGACACAGAACGTCACTTTTCCAAAGATCTTTTTCTTTTCATATATATAAGTCATACGGGAGCATTGGTGACGAGTTGAGGAATCTCGGTGTTAATTGTTTTAAAAAACATTTGAGGGCA